TTCAGTGAATGTAGTCCTCAGTGTTTAAAATGGCCTTTACTTTCTAAAGCAATGCCACCTACTGTTCATTTATTTTGTGGCAATGTAATTTCTACTCCCAACTCCAAACAGAGGTAACAAGGCAAGAAATGCAAACACAATCTGGCCAGTTTTTTGGACACATGTCTACATGGTAGGAAAGATGAATCTCTTGGGTTAAGTATACATTTTATTTGGCCAGGGGTTTCAGCAGCTATTGCAGTGAGGAAAGAAACACAGTCTTTTAAACTAAGTTGCTTTATCTGAAGCAAACCTCTTAAAACAATTCCATGAAACTAAACATGACACCCGGATGATTTTGATGTTTTTATCATCCTTGTGGGAGGCTTCTCTCCGGGAAGGCACACTGGAACAGCCACGTCTTCAAGCTCTTCCTGAAGACTGCCAATGTTGGGGCTTGTCTGATGTCCTTGGGGAGAGAGTTCCAGAGTCGGGGAGCCACCACAGAGAAGGCCCTGTCCCTCGTCCCCACGAGGCATTCAGATGGCAGATTCAGTGGTTTGATTCAGTGGTACTCTTGCAGCTTTGATGGCAGGAGGTTCAACTGGGCAAGCACAGTGCCTGCCAGAGGAAAGTATAGATATCTTGATCCATTCATCCCTTCCCAAATTGAAGGCAAGTGGGATGCCTTCCTCACATTCTGGTCTCCTCCAGACCTTCAGAGGTCATAGAATCATAGAATCAAAGAGTTGGAAGAGACCTCATGAGCCATCCAGTCCAATCCCCTGCCAAGAGGCAGGAATATTGCATTCAAATCACCCCTGACAGATGGCAAAGCTTCCAAAGAAGGAGCCTCCACCACACTCCGGGGCAGAGAGTTCCACTGCTGAACGGCTCTCACAGTCAGGAAGATCTTCCTCATGTTCAGATGGAATCTCCTCTCTTGTAGTTTGAAGCCATTGTTCCGCGTCCTAGTCTCCAAGGAAGCAGAAAACAAGCTTGCTCCCTCCTCCCTGTGGCTTCCTCTCACATATTTATACATGGCTATCATATCTCCTCCAGCCTTCTCTTCTTCAGGCTAAACATGCCCAGCTCCTTAAGCCGCTCCTCATAGGGCTTGTTCTCCAGACCCTTGATCATTTTAGTCGCCCTCCTCTGGACACATTCCAGCTTGTCAATATGTCTCTTGAATTGTGGTGCCCAGAATTGGACACAATATTCCAGGTGTGGTCTAACCAAAGCAGAATAGAGGGGTAGCATGACTTCCCTAGATCTAGACACTATGCTCCTATTGATGCAGGCCAAAATCCCATTGGCTTTTTTAGCTGCTGCATCACATTGTTGGCTCATGTTTAACTTGTTGTCCACGAGGACTCCAAGATCTTTTTCACACGTACTGCTCTCGAGCCAGGCATCCCCATTCTGTATCTTTGCATTTTGTTTTTCCTGCCAAAGTGGAGTATCTTGCATTTGTCACTGTTGAACTTCATTTTGTTAGTTTTGGCCCATCTCTCTAATCTGTCAAGACCATTTTGAATCCTGCTCCTGTCCTCTGGAGTATTGGCTATCCCTCCCAATTTGGTGTCGTCTGCAAATTGATGATCCTGCCTTCTAACCCTTCATCTAAGTCATTAATAAAGATGTTGAGGGTCCTCAGTCCCCCATGTTGCCTGATGTTAAGGGAGCTTTTAGCAGCTCTGCACACCACATAACTGGCATAGCTTGGCATGGAGGAGTTGGTGCACATTCCAGAACATACCCCACCTCCATTCCTAATAAAGCCTAGCATTGTAGAGTTGACATAACTGCATCTACAGAAATATCACCCCTATGTATTTGTCATCACTGCCACCAACGCACAGCGGAAGGTACTGTTAGCCTGGCATGTACAACTAGAATGGCGAGCTTAGAACTCTGGCCAGTCATATTTCCCCTACACTTCCTCAACACAGTCCTATTCATGTATTTGGGATGTATTAAAAATCTGGCACAGACTGTAGTATTCTTGTTACCATTACAGCATTCATGGTTTCATAATATTCAAAACAATATTCAGTCATAAATAACATTTTTTTAAAAATTGGAATATAGCAGTCCCTGAATTACAAACAAGATAGGTTTTGTTGGTTTGTTCTTAAGTTGAATTTGTATGTAAGTTGACACAAGTACATTTTAAGTGTAACTCCACACACACACACGCTTTGGATAGCATAGGGGTTAACACTCCTGAAGTGTTCATTTTGCTGTATTGTCGAAGGCTAGGCCATAAAATGCTAATCAAGGTGGTCAGTTGAAACATTCACACCTAGCTCCAGCAGACAAGAGTTCTTTGTCCCACCCTGGTCATTCCACAAATGTATTGTTCTGTCGCGCACTGGGCCTGTAACCGCTGTACTTTTTATAGGACGTATACTTTAAGCCCAGCGGGAAGCCTCAAACGAGATTCTTAGGGATTTTTCTGAAGTGATGGTCTTTAGAGTCTTTAATGATACAACAAAGTCTTTATTATGGAACAAACAACAAATCTTCAATGGTTCAAACAACACTTCAAGGCTTTCTTAGTCTAGTCCTCAATGGACTGGCACCTGACTTTGATTAACTGTACTTTCTCTGTAGGAAAAAAAACCCTATTTAACCTCTCCCAGGCTGTTTACTATCTATGCCTCATCGGTGTGGGTCCTACTACCGATTCCAAATGTGTCTGGGTATCGAGTAGACCTACCAGCCGAGGCTTGTAGATATTTCAGCTGGAGTTCAGTGGATCTGTAATGCTGTCCTCCCTCCGAGAATTCTTTGAAAACTTCAGGGCTGTTTTCCCTCTGATTGCTGTGAGGCTGAGAGGCTGTGAGCTCTCAGCCAGAGCCTTGGGACCTTTTCCCTGGAATTTCTGTTTCTGTTTCCCCGGATGTTATTGAGAAAAGAAGCTTTTCTATGGGACGAGCTGGTCTGCATCCTATAGTTTAGCTTCCTTATGTGAGACTGCCCAAAAAATGGCTCCTTTCCCTCTCAGAGCCCTGAACAAGGGGTGGAACCAAAGCTTAATTATGATGGACAGGAGGCCTGTCCTATGACTGCAAACAGATAACAGAAGGAGAACAAAGCTGGAGCCCCTGGTACAGCCGTCCCAGCACATGTATAAACCCATTTTCCAACAGACTTCACTACCCCTGAGGATGCTTGCCATAGATGCAGGCGAAATGTCAGGAGAAAATGCCTCTAGAACATGGCCATATAGCCCGAAAAAACCTACAACAACTCACTGTTCATTATGCTGTTTGTGTCCATGTTTGGAAGATTTCACCTTCTGTCCCAGAGAGAATTGGCTTTTGAGAAAATTGGCTTGTTGTGGAAACAGGGACTGGTGATAAACTTTCCAGGAGTGAATTTCCCTTCCAAGGGATAACTTTCTCTTACTTGCTATTGTCTCGCCCCCGTTCCGAACTATGAGCCATGTAAGCCAGATGTTTGTAACTTGGGGGCTGCCTGTATTCTTCACACAAATAAGTAGCAGCACATATTGGGAGTAAATATTAAATTTGACCTCACATACGGTTGCTACGTCACTTCCCTACTGCCACCATATGTTTTCCACTCCACTCCAGACCAAGCACAGTCCGAAGATCCAAAGATCTCAATGGCGGAGCAGGTGGAGAATAACATGGTACATCTGAACATGAGGAAGTACTTCCTGACTGTGAGAGCCGTTCAGCAGTGGAACTCTCTGCCCCGGAGTGTGGTGGAGGCTCCTTCTTTGGAAGCTTTTAAACAGAGGCTGGATGGCCATCTGTCAGGGGTGATTTGAATGCAATATTCCTGCTTCTTGGCAGGGGGTTGGACTGGATGGCCCATGAGGTCTTTTCCAACTCTTTGATTCTATGATTCATGATACATGTTACAACGGCTGTGAAGGCGGAAGAAGGCTGCAACAGACTGAGAAGCCACGGTAATTGTGTTAAACTACACCACCAGTGGAACCTCACTCTGTGAAGACTGTGTGTTGATCAGTTGTGCACTGACCTCCACACATTAAAAAACTCATGCACAGGTCTTTTCCAAAGGGGCTCCACAGCCACCTACGGATCCACAAGAATACTGATCATGGAAGGTTATCCTACTCGTCCAATGAGGGATCGCCTAAGTAAGTAAGTAAGCTAAAACAGTGGATGTGGCTCTTAATGAGACATGCCGCATTATCATGGGGTATCTGCGCCCTACACCACTGGAAAAACTACACTGTTTAGCCGGTATTGCACCACCTTATATCCGCTGGGAAGTAGCAGTGAAAGGACCAAGGCAGAGACATCTCCAGCTCATCCCCTGTTTGGGTATCAGCCAGCACGTCAACAACTTACATCAAGAAATAGTTTTCTAAGACCTACAGAGACACTCGCTGGAACACCCCAGCAAGTGAGAGTCCAAAAGTGGCAGGCTCAAACCCAGCACCTCCATCAATGGGTGATACCAAATGAGAGACTCCCCCCTGGGCACACAGAAAACTTGGAAGGCGCTGAACAGACTGCACTCTGGCACCCTGAGATGCAGAGCCAACCTTAAGAAATGGGGCCACAAAGTGGAATCCACGCCATGCGAGTGTGGAGAAGAGCAAACTACAGACCACCTGCTGCAATGCAACTTGAGCCCTGCCACATGCACAATGGAGGACCTTCTTATAGTAATACCAGAGGCACTCCAAGTGGCCAGCTACTGGTCAAAGGACATCTAATCAACTACCAAGCTTGCAAACTTTGTGTTTTGTCTTTTTGTTTTGTTAAAAAAATACAACTGTCTGGTTGCTCCTGACACGATAAATAAATCACCTAATCTGGGCATTGCTGGGTACCTGAAGTACTAGATTTTAAAAAAAAATCTAACTCCTGGCAAATTGGTTGGTGGTCTCCCTCGCCCTCCATGACCCCAGGGACAAGAAGAGCTGGCTGTCTGGCTTTCCCTTTCCGTCGGCCCATTCCAGCAAGGGATGACTTTCCCTTTAAGGCACCTGGCTCACCTGTCGGCGCCCTTCCCTCCTCACCTGGCTCAGGTGGCAGGCGAAGAGAAGGAGGAAGAGGAAGAGGAGGAAGTCGCCAGGGCCTCCAACGCCGCGATGTCCGCCTCGGCCGTCTTTATCCTTGACCTGAAAGGCAAGGTGAGTCCTTGGGGGTGGGTGGGGGGAGCCCAGAGACCCTCTCCCTGGAGATCAGCCCCTGAAAAGGAAACCCGGAAGGAGCTCTCCAAAGAAGAGCCCCCTCCCTCGCTCCAATCCTTGAAAGGGACCCAAAGTGGTTCACACACTACACGTTTGAAACGTGACACTTTGGCCCCTTCTACACTGCCATATACAAGGCAGACTATCTGCTTTGAACTGGATTATATGACAGTGTAGACTCATATAATCCAGTTCAAAGCAGATAATGTGGATTATCTGCTTTGATGATCTGGATTATATGGTAGTGTAGAAGGGACTTGAGGGCCCTTCCAGACAGGTCCTATACCCCAGGATCTGGTTTTAAGTTTATCCCAGATTATCTGGCAGTGGGAACTCATATAATCCAGTTTAAAGCAGAAAACCTGGGATCAGATCCTGGGATACAGGACCTGTCTGGAAGGATCCTGAGGCTGAATCTACACTGCCATATAATCCAGTTTAAAACAGATAATATGCCAATAATATAATATAATGTAATATATTGTATTTACATATAATGTTAATAACATTATAATGTAATACGATATAATATATTATAATTATATATTTTATATTACATGTAATATTACTAATCTATATACGTAAAAATGTAATGTTCGTTTGTGGGATGACCATAACTCAAAAACCACTGGATGAATTGATACCAAATTTGGACACAATACACCTATCAGGCCAACGAGTGACCATCACTCATAAAAACACTGAAAAACATAGCAGAAGGGACTTAAAAAGCCAAAAAACAAAAAATACATTACAACGCATGCGCAAAACCACATATATACACAAACACACATATACACAAATATATACACATAGGGAAAACACAGGCACAACAACAACAAAAGTACTTGCTTACTTACTTGTGCTATTCTAATCTATATAAATAAAAATGTAATGTTCATTTGTGGGATTAACAGAACTCAAAAACCACTGGACAAATTGACACCAAATTTGGACACAAGACACCTAACAACCCAATGTATGTCCTTCACTCAAAAAAAATGATTTTGTCATTTGGGAGTTGTAGTTGCTGGGATTTATAGTTCACCTACAATCAAAGAGCATTCTGAACTCAATCAATGATGGAATCGAATCAAAATTGGGACACAGACTCCCATGACCAACAGAAAACACAAGAAGGGTTTGGTGGGCATTGATGTTGAGTTTGGGAGTTGTAGTTCACCTACATCCACAGAATACAGCGGACACAAACAATGATGGATCTGGACCAAACTCTACACAAATGCTCAATATGCCCAAATGTGACCACTGGTGGAGTTTGGGGAAAATAGAATCTTGACATTTGGGAGTTGCTGGGATTTATAGTTCACCTACAATCACAGAGCATTCTGAACCCCACCGATGATAGAATTGGGCCAAACCTCGCACACAGAACCCCCATGACCACCAGAGTGGGCCACAGCAATGCGTGGCAGGGGACAGCTAGTAATATATAAATAAAAATGTAATGTTCGTTTGTGGGATTAACATAACTCAAAAACCACTGGACGAATTGACACCAAATTTGGACACAATACACCTATCAGGCCAATGAGTGACCATCACTCATAAAACACTGAAAAACACAGCAGAAGAGACTTAAAAAGCCAAAAACATTACATTACAATGCATGCACAAAACCACATATATACAAATATACACATATATACACAGACTGGGCCACAAGTCCGATTGCATTAAGTGTACAGCGCAGACGCACTATGTCCACTTGTGCTTGTTCGGCCTCCATCCTTATAATAATAATAATAATAATAATAATAATAATAATAATAATAATAATATTTATACCCCGCCACCATCTCCCCAATGGGGATTCGGAGCGGCTTAGCCCAACAACACATCAATAAAAACAAAAAGCAATAAACAAAAAACAATAAATACAATACAATTAATATAAATCACATATAAACAATAACCAATAAACAGTAACACACAAGGATTTAAAAATCTGTGGCCAGGCCAAATGTAATAGTTTAAAAATTTTAAAAATAAACGCTGGGCATGAACGAGGTAGGATATATCTGGTATAGGGTTTTAAAAGAGATGAGGTAGGGTTTGTGCTCCCGGGCATACTGTGTGTTGTATTAGTGGGGAGATGGGCTTCCAGTTCTGCTATGGACTGGACTGGGGCAGATACCAAAAAAGCTTGGCTTTTGCTGGATTCTGCCTCGCTATCTGCAGAAGCTGGTTAAACCAGCCAGGCTGGTTAAAAAGGCTTGGAGCAGAAGGCTAGACCTGTAGCTCAAAAGCTAAAGTAAACCAGGAAAAATAAGCAAACTTTGCGTGGAGCTACTGAATGTACTTGGCCCTGCTGATCCCTGGAACTGCCTGCCACCGCTGGAGGAGGTGATGGCCAAGTTCAAAAATGTAGCAAAATCCATTCGTTTAATATGGGAAGAAGCATCCGCTGATGTAATGCATTTTCTGAGTATGTGAGCAGAAAAGTTACCATTTCAGGAACCCAGATGATGAAGCGATCTAATAATAGCAGAATCAAAGGGAGATTAAGCAAGATGCTGAGCAGAATTCAATTTGTTCCGAACTGGAATGTGGAGCATGCCAATGCTGTGGAGCACTTTCCTTTGTTTTCCTCGCTGTGAAAGAATCTTTCTTTCTCCACATTGATGGAAAAGCAACAACAATGACAGTGTTGTTAAAATAACAGATGATGTGAGCTGAAAGACCTTCAGCTTTCGTCTCAGGACAGCAATGCTTTGACTTCTGTGATGTTCGCCAAGCACTAATTCTGTATCCTGTGTGTTATAGGATAATGGAAATACCGATTTACCTTACGACCCTGCTAAAATATTTTAGTAAGGAACGCTAGAGCAGTGCTTCTTAAATTGTGTGACGTGACCCCACAATTTAAGGGGCCTTCCACCCAACAGAATACAGGGGTTGAATTAAACTATGCGTTATTGGGCGAATAAGTTTAAAGATGTTGAGGTGGGAACATCTGACTTGCGTGACAAACAAATAGTTGTCGAAGGCTTTCATGGCTGGAATCACTAAGTTGTTGTGGGTTTTTTCGGGCTATATGGCCATGTTCTAGAGGCATTTTCTCCTGACGTTTCGCCTGCATCTATGGCAAGCATCCTCAGAGGTAGTGAGGTCTGTTGGAACTAGGAAAAAGGGTTTATATATCTGTGGAATGACCAGGGTGGGACAAAGGACTCTTGTCTGCTGGAGCTAGGTGTGAATGTTTCAACTGACCACCTTGATTAGCATATAATGGCCTGACTGTGCCTGGAGCAAACTTTTGTTGAGAGGTGATTAGATGTCCTTGTTTGTTTCCTCTCTGTTGTTTTGCTGTTGTAATTTTAGAGTTTTTTAATACTGGTAGCCAGATTTTGTTCATTTTCATGGTTTCTTCCTCCTTTCTGTTGAGATTGTCCACATGTTTGTGGATTTCAATGGCTTCTCTGTGTAGTCTGACATGGTGGTTGTGAGAGTGGTCCAGCATTTCTGTGTTCTCAAATAATATGCTGTGTCCAGGTTGGTTCATCAGGTGCTCTGCTATGGCTGACTTCTCTGGTTGAAGTAGTCTGCAGTGCCTTTCATGTTCCTTGATGCGTGCCTGGGCGCTGCGTTTGGTGGTCCCTATGTAGACTTGTCCACAGCTGCATGGTATACGGTAGACTCCTGCAGATGTGAGAGGATCCCTCTTGTCCTTTGCTGAACATCAAGGGAACCACTGACCGCATAGGGAAGCTGATGAGGAAACACAACATACAAACTATCTACAGACCCACCAAGAAAATCCAACAAATGCTACGTTCAGCAAAGGACAAGAGGGATCCTCTTACCTCTGCAGGAGTCTACCGTGTACCATGCAGCTGTGGACAAGTCTACATAGGGACCACCAAACGCAGCGCCTAGACACGCATCAAGGAACATGAAAGGCACTGCAGACTACTTCAACCAGAGAAGTCAGCCATAGCAGAGCACCTGATGAACCAACCTGGACACAGCATATTATTTGAGAACACAAAATGCTGTACCACTCTCACAACCACCATGTCAGACTACACAGAGAAGCCATTGAAATACACAAACAAGTGGACAATTTCAAAAGAAAGGAGGAAACCATGAAAATGAACAAGATCTGTCTACCAGTATTAAAAAATTCTAAAATTGCAACAGCAAAAACAGCGGAGAGGAAACAGGCAGGGACATCTAATTACCTCTTAAGAAAAGCTCCAGGCACAGTCAGCCCTATGCTAATCAAGGTGGTCAGTTGAAACATTCACACCTAGCTCCAGCAGACAAAGTTCTTTGTCTCACCCTGGTCATTCCACAGATATATAAACCCTTTTTCCTAGTTCCAACAGACCTCACAACCTCTGAGGATGTTTGCCATAGATGCAGGCGAAACGTCAGGAAAAATGCTTCTAGAACATGGCCCTATAGCCCGAAAAAACACACAAGATCCAGCAGACCTCACCTCTGAGGATGCTTGCCATAGATGCAAGCGAAACGTCAGGAGAAATGCCTCTAGAACATGGCCATATAGCCCGAAAAAACCCACAAGAACTTAAACAAATAGTTGGACGTCCTATGACAGCAACCATCAAGTCTCAAAAGCAAAAGGGTTCAGGACGATTGTCATATCACTCAGAGAGAAATTTCAAGCATAATCAACATTTCACAAGAATGTGTGGGTCACATTATTGCGTTGTTTGGCTATCGGAAGATCTGTGTACGATGGGTACCCAGGATGCTAATACCGGAAATGAAAGCGCACAGACTTGAAACTTCAGACACTGGATCTCACTACCATACAACATCCTCCATACAGTCCAGATTTAGCACCGTCTGACTTCCATCTTGTATTGTCGAAGGCTTTCATGGCCGGAATCACTGGATTGTTGTAGGTTTTTTCGGGCTATATGGCCATGGTCTAGAGGCATTCTCTCCTGACGTTTCGCCTGCATCTATGGCAAGAGGTAGTGAGGTCTGTTGGAACTAGGAAAAGGGTTTATATATCTGTGGAATGACCAGGGTGAGACAAAGGACTCTTGTCTGCTGGAGCTAGGTGTGAATGTTGAAACACCATGGATGACAGCTGGAAGTTTGTCTGCCTCACATGATGGACTCCATGATACTTCTGTTTTAGAAGTGTGTAGAAATGAAGTGGGGGGGGGGGGGACTTGTGTGATGTAGTCCTAAATCTACTCACTAGGAAGCCTGCAGCAGAGGTGGGTGTAAGAGAAAGCCAGTGTAACTTAATTTTGTTCTTGCCATTGTGGTGCTTAATTGCTCTCTTCTTTCATAGCCACTGATCAGCCGCAACTACAAAGGAGATGTGAGCATGTCGGAAATCGACTACTTCATGCCACTTCTGATGCAGAAGGAGGAGGAAAGTGCCTTGACGCCGCTTCTGTCCCGAGGAAAGATTCACTTCCTTTGGATCAAGCATAGCAACCTCTACTGTATCCTTTCAGTGCCCAAGAGAATAAGAATGTGGGATTTATCTTCCATTTGTAGCCAAGTAAATACAGAGGCGGCTCAACCCATTACGCAAAGTAAGCATTTGCAGTATAGTTGATTTTGCCCAGGGGCGCTCTTGAGGCGCCCTTGGGGGAAAATAGACCTTGACATATGCGAGTTGTAGTTACTGGGATGTATAGTTCACCTACAATCAAAGAGCATTCTGAACTCCACCAATGATGGAATTGAACCAAATATGGCACACAGAACTCCCACAACAGAAAATATATATCAATGATTGGTTGGGGGGGGGGGGTGCCAAAATACTGTTTGCTTACCGTTGAAAATTACCTAGGGCCGCCTCTGAGCAAATAACAAAGTGGGGCCATTTTTAGAACTTTGCTAATCAGTGTTTGCCCAGAGTTCACCCTTCTCTTGTGGCCCCTTCCACACAGCTGTATAAAATCCACGGAGCCCCCAGTGGCGCAGTGGGTTAAACCACTGAGCTGCTAAACTTGTTAAGCAAAAGGTTGCAATCCAGGAGTGGGGTGAGCTCTCCACTGTTAGCTCCAGCTTCTGCCAACCTAGCAGTTCAAAAACATGCAAATGTGAGTAGATTGATAGGTACTGCTCCAGTGGGAAGGTAATGGTGCTCATGTAGTCATGCTGGCCACATGGCCTTGGAGATGTCTATGGACAACACTGGCTCTTTGGCTTAGAAATGGAGATGAGCATCACACCCCAGAGTCTGAATTTAATGTTAGGGGAAAACCTTTAACCTTAAACCTTAAGCTTAAAATCCACATTGAACCGGATTATATGGCAGTGTGGATTCAGATAAACCAGTTCAAAGCAGATACTGTGGATTATCTTCTTTGACATTGTGAGCTATATGACTGTGTGGAAGGGCCCTGTGTTTGTTTAAAATCCAGGAGTTTTACATGAACTTTCACATACTCAACACTGAACTAGTAACATTTGACTGTCTATCAGACAACTGTCTTACTTTGCTTGTCACAAAGGACAATGGGGACCATATTTAATCTCAATTCAAAGGACAGATCAGCAGAGTTATGCACGCTATCCTTTATCCACCCATATGCATCTGATGTTGGCTTGTAGTAAAAGCAATTCCTTATTGACACAAGAGGAATCAAGGCTGAATCTACACTGCCATATGATCCAGTTTCTGATCCTAGATTATCCTCTTTGACAGGGGTCCTCAAACTACGGCCCGGGGACTGGATACGGCCCTCCCAGGTCATTTACCCGGCCCTCGCTCAGGATCAACCTAAGTCGGAAAGGACTTGAAAGCACACAACAACAACAATAATAACAACAACAACAATCCTATCTCATCAGCCAAAAGCAGGCCCACACTTCCCATTGAAATACTAATAAGTTTATATTTGTTAAAACTGTTTTTCATTTTAATTATTGTATTGTTTTAAAGTGTTTTTGCACTACAAATAAGATAGATGCAGTGTGCATAGGAATTCATTCATGCTTTTCTCCAATTATAATCCGGCCCTCCAACAGTTTGAGGGACTGTGACCTGGCCCTCTGTTTAAAAAGTTTGAGAGCCCCTGGTCTACCAGACAACTGTCTTCCTTGGCTTGTCACAAAGGACAATGGGGACCATAAATTTAATCTCAATTCAAAGGGCGGATTAGCAGAGTTATGCACGCTATCCTTTGTATGCATCTGATTGTAGAATTGCCTTGTAGAATTATTGGTGAAAGCATTTCCTTATTGACACAAGAGGAACAAAGGCTGAATCTACACTGTCATATAACCCAGATTATCTGCTTTGAACTGGATTATATGGCAATGTAGACTCATATAATCCAGTTCAAAGAAGATAAAATGGGATTACCATCTGGATTATATGGCAGTGTAGATCCAGCCTGAAAAATTCTGCTCCATTCGGTCCTATAGGAAACTGATGTTAAAATTTCATCTTAACTCAGGAAGTGCCTGTGCACGCGTGGTTCATTCTCTCTTGTTCTCTATCCCTCTCCTTCTTTCTTTCAGGCTGTGTGTATATACATTACTGTTTTCAGTGATTTATGACTGATTTGTTGATGTTTATGTGTTCAAAGCTGGTTTTTTTTTTTTAATTAAATTTTATTATAATACAGCATATGAAATTTTGAAATTACAAAATTACAGAAGAGGGGTCGGGGAGGAAAGGAAAAGGGAAAAGAAAAGGTAGGGATAAGGGGTACGAAGAGAGGGGGGGGATCTACAAAGTGTCGAAGGGTATATGGGAGTACATTTCTGTGTGAAAAAAGGTGCCCAATACAGCCTCCGTTCAGGACCCTCAAGGTATAATGTCCTCTCACACCTATTGTGTTGAGATGGACTATGTCCTAGATGTCCGAGTTGCGCCCTCAGGCGCCGAAATCTAAGTCGGGGCTCTGTACTATTTAAATCCAGGGATGAGGATGGGGTTAAAAGAACTTCCGTTTAGAATCCACACGAAGTATTCTAAATTTCTCAAACGCGGTCCGGTTAGGGTCGCGTAGATGCCTTCGCACCGCAACCCTCCTTAGTTTATATCTACTGTGTCTCTTCTTAATTTGGTTCCTAGTCTGTTCCAGCATTTCTCTGCTTATCGTATTCGTCGAGTTTAGACCAGTCAGTTTGTCTGACTGGCCTACCGGAACTCGATCTCAACAAGAATGTCAACTTGTCCATATCTCTTATTTCCGAGATTTTATCCATCCATTCATCTGTACTGGGTATGTGTTCTGTCTTCCAGTGTCTTGCCAGGACAATTCTCGCGGCGGAAGTTATATATGTCCAGATTACCTCTTCTTCACTGTTAAGTTTAAAGCCGTCATCTGTTAGACCCAAAACAAAGTACTCCGGTTTTAAAGGAATTTTCTTTTTGAAGATTTTTTGGGCCTCGACCTGGCAATCCCTCCAGAATTTATGTACTCTAGGGCACGACCACCACATATGGAAGTACGTTCCCGGGAGAATCTTACATTTCCAACATAAATTCTTGTAACTTGGGTACATTTGGCTTAATTTGTAGGGTGTTAAGTACCAACGATGAAAGGTTTTGAGCCAGTTCTCTTTTAAGGCGGTGGCGTACGTATACTTCAGCTTTTTGTTCCACATTACCTGCCATTCCATTAGATTTATTGGGCGTCCGATGTTTTTGGCCCATAGGGTCATACAGTTTTTTATTTCCTCAGTTTCTGTCTCCCAGGTTAAAAGTTGGTTGTATATTTTAGAGATAGTTTTTCTTTCCGTTTTCCAGATTGTTTCCCAAGGATCTACTTTTCCTTCAAACCCGAGTTTCGAATCCGCCTTGTATATTTCTCGGAGTTGATGATACTGCAGCCATGTCAATTTTTTAAAGGTTTGCACCAGTTCTTCTTGCTGTTTCAGGTTCCACTCATTGTCACTCCTGCTTTTGATTAGCAGGTCTCCGTACGTCGGCCATTGTTGCCATCCGAGTAGGCGTCTTTGTTTTGCCTCGAGAGGTGATAGCCATGGGGGCGTTTTGTTACATTGTTGCCATCCGAGTAGGCGTCTTTGTTTTGCCTCGAGAGGTGATAGCCATGGGGGCGTTTTGTTATAAAAGTATTTTTTGTATTTTATCCAGACTTTTAGCAGAGCTGATCTTATAAAATGATTTCTAAAATTGCTCTCTATTTTGGCTCTGTCGTACCATAGGTACGCGTGCCACCCCACTCTAAGATTGAAACCTTCTAAAGTTAAGATGTTTATTCTTCTGAGGTTAATCCAGTCTTTTACCCAGGAGAGGGCACATGCCTCAAAATAGACTCTCATACTAGGAAGCCCAAAGCCCCCCCTTTCTTTCCTATCAATCATAATACGATGTTTCAACCTAGGCTTCTTCCCGTTCCAAATAAATTTAGATATGTCTCTGTTCCACTGCTCGAAATAAGTTCTTAGATCTGAGAGCCCAAAGCCTCCTCTTTTTTTTGTCATCTATCAATATAAGTCTTTTTATCTTTGGTTTTTTACCCTGCCAAATAAATTTAGATATGTCCTTATTCCAGGTATTAAAGATACTCAAATTCTTGATTATTGGCAGGGATTGAAAACTCGAAGATTTTATTGTTTCGAATTATCGGTAGATTCTGATAGAGGTAAAGTAGTCTGGGCAAGATGTTCATTTTAATCAGACTTATTCTTCCTAGCAGGGAAAGATTCAACGACTTCCATTTGGTCAGATCTTCTTTCGCCTTTTTCCAAGCCGTTCAAAGCTGGCTTTTGATCTGCCTTTTGACCCTGCTAGCTAGCCAGTTCCCATTGTCCGATGGATAAGGGTGGAGCTTCTTAGGACTTCCACATGTTCGTTGATTGTAATTCCCATCATTTCTCAGCATTGGCAATATTGACTAGTAGCGGTATGATGGGAGCTGCTGGACCACAACAGCAGATGGAGATCTGTATGATTCCTTCCTTTGCTTTAAGCCTTTTTTTTCACTTCAGCATTGGTTTTTGGAAAAGACTGCACTTCAAAAAAGCTCCAGAAAAATGGATCCAGGTTTGCAAAATGGAATCTTCATTTTCTACTGTATACACCCACATGCATCCATTATCTTGTCTCTCTATCTGAAATGCTGGCATATACTTAAATGCTCCATGTTGCAAGCATGGATCTATATGCGTCCCTATGACAAATGGGGTGGGAATTAAATGTACCTCAAAATAATGTAGCAACTTATTCACTAAGCTTAGAGATCGCTAGAATAATCTGAAAACAGGTTCTTCTTGTACTTAGAGGTTATAGGTCATGCTTTTCAAAGCAGAGCAGAAATTCCTCTGCGCAGATAGGAATGTGGTGCCACAGATGGTTTCTTGCCCCTTTCAGACTTATCTCTGTCCCCTTGTCTTTTCCAGACATAGGCCCTTTCTACACTGCCATATAAAATCCACATTATCTACTTTGAACTGGATTATATGGCAGTGTAGACTCATAGAATCATAGAATCAGAGTTGGAAGAGACCTCATGGGCCATCCAGTCCAACCCCCTGCCAAGAAGCAGGAATATTGCATTCAAATCACCCCTGACAGATGGCCATTCAGCCTCTGTTTAAAAGCTTCCAAAGAAGGAGCCTCCACCACACTTCGGGGCAGAGAGTTCCACTGCTGAACGGCTCTCACAGTCAGGAAGTTCTTCCTCATATTCAGATGGAATCTCCTCTCTTGTAGTTTGAAGCCATTGTTCCGCGTCCTAGTCTCCAGGGAAGCAGAAAACAAGCTTGCTCCCTCCTCCCTGTGGCTTCCTCTCACATATTTATACATGGCTATCATATCTCCTCTCAGCCTTCTCTTCTTCAGGCTAAACATGCCCAGCTCCTTAAGCCGCTCCTCATAGGGCTTGTTCTTCAGACCCTTGATCATTTTAGTCGCCCTCCTCTGGACACATTCCAGCTTGTCAATATCTCTCTTGAATTGTGGTGCCCAGAATTGGACCCAATATTCCAGGTGTGGTCTAACGCATATAGTCCAGTTCAAAGCAGATAATGTGGATTACCTGCTGATAATTTGGATTGTGTGGCAGTGTAGAAGGGGTCTCAGTGCTCCCTTTCTACTTTTCCAGGCTCCTGCCTTTCACCCCTTTAGTCAGTATATATGGGAATGAATGGTCATTCATTCAGTGGGGCAGTTGGCTAGAGCAGGGCTTCTTAAACCTTTTCCAGTTGCAGTCCCTTTCCACCTGAGAAATGTTTAGGTGATCCTAGGTACTTATCTATATAAATAAAAATGTAATGTTCGTTTGTGGGATTAACATAATTCAAAAACCATTGGATGAACTGGCACAAAATTTGGACACAATACACCTACTAACCCAAGGAGTGACTATCACTAAAAAAATTGATGTTGTCATTTGGGAGTTGTAGTTGCTGGGATTTATAGTTCACCTAAAATCAAAGAACTCCTACATTCTGAACTCCGCCAATGATGGAAATGAACCAAACATGGCACACAGTACTCCCATGACCAACAGAAAACACTAGAAGGGTTTGGTGGGCATTGACCTTGAGTTTGGGAGTTGTAGTTCACCTACATCCAGAGAGCACTGTGGACTCAAACAATGATGGATCTGGACCAAACTTGGCACGGATATTCCATATATCAAAATATGAATAATAATAATAATAATAATAATAATAATAATAATAACACTTTATTTGTACCCGCTACCATCTCCCCAAGGGACTCGGTACGGCTTACATGAGGCCGAGCCCAAACACAACAATACAAGCAATAATAACAACAATACAAGCAATTAAAAAACATAGACAATAAAATATACAACATTATCAATAAGACAACACACAATTAAAAACAGTGGGAAGGCCAAATGTAAAGTTAAAATTGGAAATAATGCTGGGACATGGACAAAAGGTGATACCAGTGTTTGTGGAAGGCATACGAGCAGACCTAAAGAAATGTAAAGTGCTTTGGAGGACAAAGTGCTATGGGTCATTATTCCGGGAAGGCACACTGGAACAGCCACATCTTCAAGCTCCTCCTGAAGACTGCCAGAGTTGGAGCCTGTCTGATGTCTTTAGGGAGTGAGTTCCAGAGTCAAGGGGACACCACCAAAAAGGCCCTCTCTCTCATCCCCACCAGTCACGCCTGCGATGCTGGTGGGATCGAGAGCAGGGCCTCTCCGGATGATTGAAGGGATTGTGTGGGTTCGTATACAGAGATGCGGTCACGGCAGGTCCCAAACCGTTCAAGGCTTTGTAGGTAAGAACCTGCACCTTGAATTGGGTCTGGTAGATGAATGGCAGCCAGTGGAGCTCCTTGAACAGGACGGATGACCGCTCCCTGTAAGGAGCCCCAGTTTTGAAGGGCAGCCCCACGTAGAGTGCATTGCAGTAATCCAGTCTAGAGGTGACTAAGGCGTGGACCACTTTGGCCAGATCCACCTTCCTGAGGTACGGTCGCAGTTGGCGCACGAGTCTTAATTGTGCAAAGGCCCTCCCGGCCACCACCAACGCCTGAGCCTCAAACCTGTGAACACAGATGGAGTTTGAGGAAAATAGACCTTGACATCTGGGAGTTGTAGTTACTGAGATTTATAGTTCATCTACAATCAAAGAGCATTCTGAACCCCACCAATGACAGAATTGAGGTAAACTTCCCACACAGAACCCCCATGACCAACAGAAAATACTTAAGGCCATCCAGTCCAACTCCCTTCACCAGGGCAAGAAAAAATAATCAAAGCCCTCCTGACAAAGAGCCATCCAGCCATAGATATAGATAGTTATGTATGATTCCCACACAGTATCATAGATTTGAAAGGGACCCTTAAAGAAGGACAATTATATGTTGCATGTTCCAGAGTAGGCAAACCACATCTCCACATCAGCACTGACAAAGAAACAACAAGAAATGCTGTTTAACCACAAGCATAAAGACATTACATATATTAGAAACCAACACTTTCTCATTACTATATTTTCCAGAGCGGATCAAAGCGACTCTTAGAAACAAGGATTTGTGTAAATGGGTGGCATTTAGGAACTCTTTACTGTTGACAATTTTTTTCATGGTCCCACATTGAGCTAAGGGGGCACCATTTAGTTTAAGAAACAGGCCCCATCTATACAGGTATATAAAATCCAGATTATCTGGAGATATAATTGAATTATATATCTGTTTAGACTCATATAATCCAGTTCAAAGTGGATAGTGTGGATTATCTGATTTGACAATCTGGATTATATGGCCAGAGGTGGCCCTAGGTAATATTTGCCCCCCCTCCCCAACCTATCATTGATATATATTTTCTGTTCGTCGTGGAAGTTCTGTGTGCCATATTTGGTTGAATTCCATCATTGGTGGAGTTCAGAATGCTCTGATTTTAGGTGAACTATATATCCCAGTCTCGATAAAATAGTGAAGAGTAGAGACATCAGACTGGCAACAAAGATCCGCATAGTCAAAGCCATGGTATTCCCTGTAGTCACCTACGGATGTGAGAGCTGGACCTTAGGGAAGGCTGAGCGAAGGAAGATCGATGCTTTTGAGCTGTGGTGTTGGAGGAAAGTGCTGAGAGTGCCTTGGACTGCGAGAAGATCCAACCAGTCCATCCTCCAGGAAATAAAGCCCGACTGCTCATTGGAGGGAAAGATACTAGAGACAAAGTTGAAGTACTTTGGCCACATCATGAGGAGACAGGAAAGCCTAGAGAAGACAATTATGCTGGGGAAAGTGGAAGGCAAAAGGAAGAGGGGCTGACCAAGGGCAAGATGGATGGATGGCATCCTTGAAGTGACTGGACTGACCTTGAAGGAGCTGGGGGTGGTGACGGCCGACAGGGAGCTCTGGCGTGGGCTGGTCCATGAGGTCACGAAGAGTTGGAGACGACTGAACGAATGAACAACAACATATATCCCAGTAACTACAACTCGCATATGTCAAGGTCTATTTTTCCCCAAGAGCACCTCAAGAGCGCCCCTGGGCAAAATCAACTATACTGCGAATGCTTACTTTGCGTAATGGTTGAGCCGCCCCTGTATATGGGAGTGTAGATCCAGCCACAGTGGGCTACAATACAGGTCTCTGGTGGAGTGGACAAAATGGTTCTTTTCTTAGCTTCTTCCTTGACCTTTTCTGTAGTGGTGGCCCTCACCATGAAGAACGCCAATGCCTCACTTGTATATTCCTTTCTCTACAAAGTGGTAGAGGTAAGTGGCTGAACACATTTTAGAAACACATGTAAAGATAGGTAGTGTTTTTGGTCTGTGCTCTAGGTCAGAACTTTCCAAACATTTTGACATTTTTGACATTTTCACATTTTAGACATGCAAAATTTTGTGACTAGGGACTTGTAACGCCAACATTTTGAGCACAGAAAGAATATGCCTTCAGTAAGAAATCCACGGTGAATTCTTCTATCCTTTACTTATCAGGTCTTTTCAGAATACTTTAAAGAACTAGAGGAAGAGAGCATCCGTGACAATTTTGTCATTGTATATGAACTACTGGATGAGCTGATGGACTTCGGGTTTCCCCAGACAACAGACAGCAAAATTTTGCAAGAGTGAGTCATTTGACTTTTTTCCCACCTACCACCTTCTCAGATTGCTTTCCTGTCACTGGGCAAATGACTTTTCAGAATTTGACTTCTTAAGAAGGCATATAGAAGAGTTTGTACGGAACAATACGTTTTGGCATGTTTTGGCTTTAACTTTGCATATTTTACTCTTTGTTGGGGTAATATTTTATTGTGTAGTACAGTTAACTTTATGAAATAACATGTAAAATAACACGTGTTTGTCGATCTTGAGTCATGACTTAAATTGCAGCACAACAATGACCAATCCACAAAAGCCAATTTTATTTATTTATTTATTTATTTATTTATTTATGACATTTATATGCCGTCCTTCTCACCCCGAAGGGTACTCAGAACGGCTTACAAGTGACAAGTAAATACAATATATTATATTATTACCATAGCACAATATTAATATTATACGAGGGGTATTTTTTAAGTAAGGTCCGTTTCAACATAAGTACACAACCAAAGTTTATTTCAAAAAAGTAAATTTATTTTCACTCTATTTTTCGACATAGTTGCCAAGTTTGTTCAAACACTTATCATACCTCTGAACCAACGTTAAAATACCCTCTTCGTAAAAACTTGCCGCCTGCTCCGATAACCAAGAGTTCACTGTAATCAAAGAAGGGCAACCGGAGCGGTCCTCATCATGGACGTTGTCACGGCCATCTTTGAATTGTCGTACCCACTTACGCACTTTGCTTTCACTCATAACAGTATCACCCTACACTTCACAAATCTGTCGATGAATTTCTGCAGCAGGCAGGTTCCTTGCTGACAAAAACCGTATCACTGAGCGAACCTCACATGTGGAGGGTGAGCTGATAGTCTTAAACATTTTTAAAGCACAGAACAGAACCGTACAGGTTAGCTACAGAGCGGAAACTGAGCACAGTTGTTCCCGAGGCATGCCGGTACACGATGCACGCGCTCGTTGCGGTATGCGCGCGAACTACTAGTGTCTACAACAAAACGGACCTTACTTAAAAAATACCCCTCGTATATTACATTGTACTATAACATTATACTGTAATATTATTAATAATATTACATTTAATATAAAACGTATAATTATATTATCATGATATTATTAGTAGTATTATATTGTATTACATTTTAATATTATCAATATTATATGTATATACAATAAATTATATTATATTATATTATATTATATTATATTATATTATATTATAAGCACATTACAGGATATAGATGGAAGGCCTGGCCCTCTCGAGAGCAGTACGTGTGAAAAAGATCTTGGAGTCCTCGTGGACAACAAGTTAAACATGAGCCAACAATGTGATGTGGCGGCAAAAAAAGCCAATGGGATTTTGCCTGCATCAATAGGAGCATAGTGTCTAGATCTAGGGAAGTCATGCTACCCCTCTATTCCGCTTTGGTTAGACCTCACCTGGAATATTGTGTCCAATTCTGGGCACCACAATTAAGAGAGATATTGACAAGCTGGAATGTGTCCAGAGGAGGGCGACTAAAATGATCAAGGGTCTGGAGAACAAGTCCTATGAGGAGCGGCTTACAGGGCCGTAGCCAGAAAAAAAATTCGGGAGGGGTTGAAATTTTCGGGGGGAGGGGTTTGAAAATTTCGTGGGGGGGTTGAAACCTGCCTCCTAGCTCACGCTGAAGCAAAGACCACAGCAGGGGGCAGAGCAGCCTTCAATAGCCTGCAGCTCGCCCCTGTCAACCACCTCCACCAAGTCTGGCCTCCTTAATGAGAGCATTCAACACCCCCCCCCCCCAACTTGGTTGCTTCACTACATCGGCTATTGCTGCAAGTAATGACAGTGTGAATAAATTGTCAATATTTGCCCGAGACAGTGCTTGCAGTTCTGGAGGGACTCTTAATTTGTTGCATCTCATAGACTTAGCATGGGGCTTTGGTTAACCAGTTAGAATTCATGAGTAAACCAGTTTTTTTAAAAAAATCTGAAACATTTCGGGCGGGGGGGGGTTGAACCCCTAAACACTCCCCCCCCCCCTCGCTACAGGCCTATTGGCAGCCAATGCAGTTGTTGTAGAATCGGTGTAATATGGGATCTTATAGATGATCCCGCTAGCAGCCTGGCCATCACATTTGGACCATCCGAATCTTCTGAGTTGTTGACTTCAGAAGACCGGCATATAAGGCATTGCAATAGTCCAACCTAGTGGTGACTGTTGCGTGGATTACCGTTGCCAATGCTTCTACCGAAAGGTAGGATGCCAATTTCCTTGCCTGGCGAAGATGAAAAAAGGCCTGCTTACTTATGGCAGTGATCTGGCCCTCCATCGTCAGCGATGAGTCCAACACAACCACAAGTCTTTTAACAGTGGCAGATGGAACCAGAGCTTCCCCATCGAAATCAGGCAGAGACTGGATTAATTCTGGCGGCTGGCTGGGCCAGAGTATCTCAGTTTTTGCAGGATTCATTTTGAGTTTGCTTGCTCGCAGCCAACTCATCACTGCTTCCAAACACAGCTTAAAGTTCTCAGGAATTGCGGTTGTTCCAGGTTCGAGACGCAAGAGTAGCTGGGTATCATCTGCATACTGGTAGCACTCTATGCCAAAGCTCCGCACCAGTCCAGCAAGTGGTATGTGGTTTTGCAAACACTTGGGAACTTGTAATTATTTTAGACAACAGATTCCACAGAATGCCCAAACTTTCATGCTGGCTGAGGTAGGTGGGAAGTTGTATTCCAGAAAAAAAATAAACCTTCCCAAGTACTCGACCATGGTCAACATCACTTTTTCTGATATTCTGTTTCTATCATTTGAGAGCAGAAAGTACCCTTTGCTGAGCCCCACTACTGAGGGAAACTGCAATTGGATGCCTTATTTATATTGTTTTATTTGCTTGCTTGTTTGTGGATGCATTGTATTTGTACTTGACGGGCTTGGTCTCATGTAAGTCACCCCGAGTTCCTGCGGGGAGATGGTGGTGGGGTATAAATAAATAAATAAATAATAATTATTATTATTGGGAAGGAAAAATAACTGTTCTTTAGAGGGCTGGTTTAGGTCTTCTTGATCTCGCTTTTTTAACCCCATTGTAGGTACATCACTCAACAAGGCAACAAGCTAGATACGGGGAAATCTCGTGTTCCAGCTACTGTCACCAATGCTGTCTCCTGGAGATCAGAGGGCATAAAATACAAAAAGAATGAAGTCTTCATTGATGTCATTGAATCTGTCAATTTGCTGGTGAGTCATATAGTTTAAATGAAGCCAGGGTTCTTCTCCTCGCCTTTTTTTAAAAAAAATTTGTCATAATAAAATATGGAGTGAAATAGTCTCTGTTTGAAATAACATTTTAAAACTATACATTTTTTGTTTGATGAATATGAATCTTCTAAATTCTGCACTTTTTAATTAAAAATAAAGTGAAGTAATATTCACATCACAATACTTCAAATGTATATAGCTGTATGTATGCATCCATGCTTCTGCCAACCTAGCAGTTCAAAAGCATGCAAATGTGAGTAGATCAATAGGTACTGCTCTGGCAGGAAGGGAATGGCATTCCATGCAGTCATGCCAGCTACATGATCTTGGAGGTGTCTGCAGACAACGCCGGCTCATCGGCATAGAAATGGAGATGACAACCAACCCCCAGAGACGGACACGACTGGACTTAATGTCAGGGGAAAACCATTACCTTTACCTTTATGCATCTATGCGTGCACGCGCACACACACTAACTGCTTTGTGTGTGTGTAAGTAGGCATGAGCCTGTTCAGATACTGTGGTGTGAAATAAATAATCTAGAATTTTTGATATTTTAATTCAGGAACTAGAAATTATACTTACCTACTGTGTCAGATTAGATATGCTTAATGAGGGAGGCAAAACTGATTCATCTCCTACCCTCCAGCTGTCTGCAAAATACATATACTCAGAGTGAGCTACGCATATTGTTAAGCGTGTGCTTGCATGCCTAACAATGGCCCTTTTACTTTAGAAGAAAAGCAGTGCGTTGTGTGAGAAAAAGCCATCAAACAAAGCATAGAAATATTTTCTCCCCTACCTCCTCCCTTAGAGAAGTCAGCCATAGCAGAGCACCTGATGAACCAACCTGGACACAGCATTTTATTTGAGAACACAGAAATGCTGGACCACTCTCACAACCACCATGTCAGACTACACAGAGAAGCCATTGAAATACACAAGCATGTGGACAATTTCAACAGAAAGGAGGAAACCATGAAAATGAACAAAATCTGGCTACCAGTATTAAAAGAGTCAAAAATTACAACAGCAAAACAATAGAGGGGAAACAATCAAGGACATTTAATCACCTCTCAACAAAAGATTGCTCCAGGCACTGCCAGGCCATCAAATGCTAATCAAGGTGGTCAGTTGAAACATTCACACCTAGCTCTAGCAGACAAGAGTCCTTTGTCCCACCCTGGTCATTCCACAGATATATAAACCAATTTTCCTAATTCCAACAGACCTCACTGCCTCTGAGGATGCTTGCCATAGATGCAGGCCAAACGTCAGGAGAGAATGCCTCTAGAACATGGCCATATAGCCCGAAAAAAACTACAACCCAGTGATTCTGGCCATGAAAGCCCTCGACAATACATTGCCTTCTCATCCAGTGTTTTTAAACTTTTAATCCTTGCTATCGGTCCTGCCCACTGTGATTTATTTATTTATTTATTTAGAGTTTTTATATCCCGGTCTTCTCGACCTCCGAGGAGGGACTCAGGCCGGCCAACAACATGGGATTCAGTACAATAAGAAAGCATTATAAATCATCAATATAAAATACATTAAAATACAATTCATACAATTCATACAGGTTACAGCAAAAATCAGTTCGTCAGAATGAATCACAAATTCATCGCCATCCGTCAGAAAGGTCAGCAGTTATTGACTCCGTCATCACTCTGCAAATGCAGTATCCCAAAGCCATGTCTTTACCAGCTTTCTAAACTTCAGGAGGGAAGAGGCAGATCTAATCTCCATCGGGAGGGAGTTCCAAAGCTGAGGGGCCCCACCGAGAAGGCGCTGTCCCTCGTCCCCACCAAACGCGATTGCGAAGGCGGCGGGACCGAGAGCAGGGCCCCTCCAGAAGATCTTAACAACCTTGATGGTTCATAGGGGAGAATCCGTTCAGACAGGTAAATAGGGCCAGAGCCATTTAGGGATTTATAGGTCAACACCAGCACTTTGAATTGTGCTCGGAAGCTGATTGGCAGCCAGTGGAGCTGGCGCAACAGAGGAGTAGTATGCTCCCTGTACCCCGCTCCCTTTAGTAATCTGGCTGCCACTCATTGTACTAGTTGTAGCTTCCGGGCAGTCTTCAGAGGCAACCCCACATAGAGAGCATTGCAGTAGTCTACACAGGATGTAACCAGAGCACGTACCACCATGGCCAAGTCAGACTTCCCAATTTATTTTCTTGTGTTTAAATTATTGTGATTTTATATTGTTGATATTTATTTATATTGTTTCTTGTATTAGATATATTTTTATTTTTATATTTTACTGTCGTGGTATGTTGTTTATTTGCATTGTTGTATTGTTGGGTTTGGCCTCGTGTAAGCCGCCCCGAGTCCCCCTGGGGAGAAGGTGGCGGGGTATAAATAAAGTTTATTATTATTATTTATTATTCATGAACACCATAAAAGAGGTGGGCCCATATTGCCTCCTAGACACTTTGTGTAGGCAGCTGCCGTTGACTGCTTGCTGACTTGCTCTCCCTGGGTGGCACAGTGTGTAGAGCAGGTCCCTGGAGGAGCACCCCATAGCCATATCAAGCTCTCACTTGCCAACCTCCAGCTATCCTCCTGGTGGTGATGGGGTGAGTGTGCCCTTCTATCCCAATTCTACACCATACTCTCCAGCAACAGAAATGGAACAGAAATGGAACAGGGAGGCCAAAGGGATGACTGTTACTCCAAGAAGCAGCCATCCTGTACACCATTAGCAGAGGGAGAGTGAGCAAATTATCATCTTATTTTGCTCCTTCCCTTCGTTTGAACTCATAAAACTCTGTCCCTCTGGCTCTTTTTGCACAGGAGGAGCATTACAATGGGAGGAACTGGAAGGAGCAGAACCTACCATTTAACTGACATGGGCTGGATGGGTGGATATTCTGAATAATCATGGAGGCAGCAGCTGTTGGTGTACACAGCAGCTGCAGCCTCCTTGCAATCCTCCCTGTCTCTCCCTCTCTGGGTGGCATCGGAAACTGCACTGGGTTCATTGTGCAGAACCCCCACTGCTGTGCTGCCCAGAGGGGGAATTTGAGAGAGCACATTAGGAGATCAGCTGTCTGCTCCTGACCTTGACCCACCCTGGATACTGTACCGCCCTCCCCGCTCCCCACAAGAGACAGGGAAGCTGAGCCAGCTCATGCCCAAGCTTTAGGGCATGGCTGCCTCTCACTTGCACCCTTCCCCAGGTCTCCTAGAAACATGCTGCCCAGAGGGAAAGAAGGAAGGCAAACCAGAAGAAACAGAGGCTGCTTTCTTGGGGGAGCCCATTCTGCCTCCACCTGTCACGAATGACTTTTCAATAACTTTGAAGCATAGGTTCTTTTTATTGCAATTTCCAGTGTGAGAGGGTATTACTTAGGCGATCCCTCATTTTCTGAGGAGGATTGTCTTCCAGTATTCTTGTGGGTCCGTATGTGGCTGTGGAGCCCTATTCTTGCTCTGCATCTTCTTCCGCAGTGAGGGCATTGGTTTCCAGGTGGAAGGCGGTCTCGGTCGGGGTTGGCTTGACGCGCCTTCCTCTTGGCACGCTTCTCCCTTTCGCCCTCCATTCGTGCCTCTTCAAATTCTGCAGCACTGCTGGTCACAGCTGACCTCCAGCTGGAGCGGTCAAGGGCCAGGGCTTCCCAGTTCTCAGTGTCTATGCCAGAGTTTTTAAGGTTGGCTTTGAGCCCATCTTTAAATCTCTTTTCCTGCCCACCAACATTCCGTTTTCCATTCTTGAGTTCGGAGTAGAGCAACTGCTTTGGGAGACGGTGGTCAGGCATCCGGACAACGTGGCCGGTCCAGTGGAGTTGATGGCAGAGGACCATTGCTTCAATGCTGGTGGTCTTTGCTTCTTCCAGCACGCTGACATTTGTCCGCTTGTCTTCCCAAGAGATTTGCAGATTTTCCAGAGGCAGCGCTGATGGAATCGTTCCAGGAGTTGCATGTGATGTCTGTAGACAGTCCACGTCTCTCAGGCATATAGCAGGGTTTGGAAGGACAATAGTACAAGCACCTTAGTATCCCTATGGATGTCCCAGTCCTCAAACACTCTCTGCTTCATTCGGAAAAATGCTGTGCTCGCAGAGCTCAGGCAGTGTTGTATTTCGGTGTCGATGTTGACTTTGGTGGAGAGGTGGCTGCCAAGGTAGCGGAAATGATCAACATTTTTGAATGTTACACCATTAAGCTGTATCGCTGGCATTGGAGAGGGGTTGGCTGGTGTCTGCTGGAACAGCACCTTGGTTTTTTCGATGTTCAATGACAGGCCAAACTTCTTGTATGCTTCTGCGAAGGTGTTTAGAGTGGCTTGTAGATCTTGTTCTCAATGCACACAGACGACGTCATCAGCATACTGGAGTTCTATAACAGATGTTGTTGTAACCTTGGATTTGGCTTTCAGTCTGCTGAGGTTGAATAGCTTGCCATCTGTCCGATAGATGATTTCCACTCCGGTGGGAAGTTTCCCATCAAGATGAAGTATCATAGCGATGAAGATGGAAAATAAGGTTGGGGCAATAACACATCCCTATCAGATTACAGAAAAACATTTAGACAAAGAATGACATTGGACATACAGATTCTATGCAACTACATTGGATTTACAATTACATTGGTTAACAGACAAACAAAGGGGAACTACATTTTCACTCAATGTTCACACCACATGTACACGCATTCATCCTCAGGCATTCAAATGTTACCATATCATTTTTCTCCCTCCTTGTAGAAGCACTTGTTAGGCCAGACGCCGCTTTCCTGCAGCCTGCCAGCGTATAGTTCCATAACTTCATAACTTCAAAACACCAATACTCCAGAGGACAGGAGCAGGATTCAAAACGATCTTGACAGATTAGAGAGATGGCCAAAACTAACAAAATGAAGTTCAACAGTGACAAATGCAAGATACTCCACTTTGGCAGAAAAAAACAAAATGCAAAGATACAGAATGGGGGACAATGCCTGGCTCGAGAGCAGTACGTGTGAAAAAGATCTTGGAGTCCTCGTGGACAACAAGTTAAACATGAGCCAACAATGTGATGTGGCGGCAAAAAAAAGCCAATGGATTTTGGCCTGCATCAATAGGAGCATAGTGTCTAGATCTAGGGAAGTAATGCTACCCCTCTATTCTGCTTTGGTTAGACCACACCTGGAATATTGTGTCCAATTCTGGGCACCACAATTCAAGAGAGATATTGACAAGCTGGAATGTGTCCAGAGGAGGGCGACTAAAATGATCAAGGGTCTGGAGAACAAGCCCTATGAGGAGCGGCTAAGGAGCTGGGCATGTTTAGCCTGAAGAAGAGAAGCCGAGAGGAGATATGATAGCCATGTATAAATATGTGAGAGGAAGCCACAGGGAGGAGGGAGCAAGCTTGTTTTCTGCTTCCTGGAGACTAGGACATGGAACAATGGCTTCAAACTACAATAGAGGAGATTCCATCTGAACATGAGGAAGAACTTCCTGACTGTGAGAGCCGTTCAGCAGTGGAACTCTCTGCCCCAGAGTGTGGTGGAGGCTCCTTCTTTGGAGGCTTTTAAACAGAGGCTGGATGGCCATCTGTCAGGGGTGATTTGAATGCAATATTCCTGCTTCTTGGCAGGGGGTTGGACTGGATGGCCCATGAGGTCTCTTCCAATTCTTTGATTCTATGAAAATGCATCCTTTCCCTAAGAACAATGCTGGGACCAGTTCTCTGTTTTCCATACAGCAGAACCTGACTCCCTGCACAAAATCTAAGACTCCAAAAGCGCACTTCTTCCTCTTCCCTTGAGAAAGAAGCCCCAAAGTGACCAGACTGCTCCCGTGCCACTATCTATAGGTACACTATCTCTCTCCTTCCCATGGAGCAGAGCATAACGGGTGAACCAGACTCCTCAGGTTGGCCACACTTTGAGCATTATTAGTCTGAGTATTTTATAGGAATATTCTGTTGATGTAGTCCCAAAGTTGTAAATTAATAATAGATGACTTCCATCCTGGCTCCATCTCAGTTTCCTGGCCAGATGTTGATCTTCTTGATTGGTGTTGATCTTATGTTGACTTCCTTCTTAACATAAGGAATGTTGCAAACATTTCCTTAACTTGAAAGAACCATTGTCACAGTTCTTATCAATTCTCATTAGCAGGTTTTGATCACAGTTCCAGCAAGCAGGTAGTCATTGCAGGACTTAATATTATACTGGTGTTTCCAAAATTATTTACACCAACCTAGGGGCGGCTCAACCCATTACACAAAGTAAGCATTTGCAGTATAGTTGTTCTGTCATGCACTGGGCCTGTAAATAATTGTCTTTAAATAGGATGTGTGAGCCCAGCGGGAAGCCAGCCCCCCGAAGAGAAGTTCTCAGAGAATTTCCACCACAAATGATCTTTAGATGGCTTATGAAGTATAACAAAGTCCTTTATTAATGAACAATCAACCAGAAACTTCTCTTGTCTTCAGAAAGTTAAACAAATGGTTTCAGGCCTTTATGCAACTGGTAGCTTCCTAAACTTGTCCACGAAGGACAGGCAATTGTCTTCAATAACTGATTCCTTACTTTAAAGGAAAATTCCCTTTTTAACTTCTCCCAGGCTGACTGTAATCTAATCCTTACGGATGTGGGCTCCGCTACCGGGTTGAACTGCGTCTTGCACACCGAGTGGACCTACCAGTAAGGCTAGTGTACATTAGTTTTCCTTGCTAAGACTAACTAAAAAATAGCTCCCTTCCCTTCCCAATTGCCCTGAGCAAGGGGCGGAACCAAAACGTAACGATGATGGACAGGTGACTTGCCCTACGACCGCAACCAAAGGAAGCCACCTTTCTGCAGAACCCCTGAAACCCTGAACTGCGAGCAAACACTCAATACAAAGCAAATAAAGTGGGAACTCCTGGTACAGCTGTACCAGCACAATAGTTGATTTCCCCCAATGATGGAATTGAACCAAATATGGCACACAGAACTCCCACGACGAACAGAAAATATATATCAGTGATTGGTTGGGGGGGGGGGGGGGCGCCAAAATACTGTTTGCTTACCGTTGAAAATTACCTAGGGCCGCCTCTGCTCCAACCACACATCCTTCCATTCATTCATAAAATACAAATAGCAAAAATAACAATTAAAACCATGAACATTAAAATAAAAAATTAAACAGTATACTTACGATCCATTTAGCTATTGCCAGTCTGGTGGCTATTTTTCTAGCAATATACTAATGATTACTCCGCTTCACTTATCCAAATCCACTTCCAAGCCATAGTCAAATATTATCCATTGTCCTTTAACCTGATTGCCCGAAGGCCTGGTCCCACAACCACGATTTTACCTTCTTTTTGAAGGTGAGGAGGGATGACGATGATCTAATTTCCCCGGTAAGCGTATTCCACAGGCGGGGGGCTACTACCAAGAAGGCTCTGTCCCTTGTCCCCGCCAAACGTGTTTGAGACAACGGCGGGGCCGAGAGCCGGGCCTCCCCAGAGGATCTTAAGCTCTGAGGTGGGACGTAGAAGGAGATATGTTCAGACATGAGCTGCTTTGTCTTTCAGGTGAATGCCAACGGAAGTGTCCTATTAAGCGAGATTGTGGGCTCCATCAAGCTTAAAGTGTTCCTCTCGGGCATGCCAGAGTTGCGCCTGGGCCTCAACGACCGGGTGCTCTTTGAACTCACAGGACGTAAGTAACTCAGAGCTGAGGGGAGGATGTCTGTTTTGGGGGTGGACTAGGCAGCCATCAGAATTCTGCTCTTGGCTAACATGGGATGGCCAGCAGCAAATTTGACACCAGGAATTCCTCAAGGGTTTTTGCTTAATACCCGTATTTACTCGAGTCTAATGCACCATCAAATCTAATGCACAAGCCAATTTTCAAAACCCTGCAACAAAAAAAAAAGGGTTTTTTGGCTAATATAATGCACAGCAGCAAAAAGCACACTTTTTACAATTTGGACAAAAAAAGGTGTGCATTACAGTTGCTGCCAGCTTATAGTTTCTTCTTTCATAGAATCAAAGAGTTGGAAGAGACCTCATGGGCCATCCAGTCCAACCCCCTGCCAAGAAGCAGGAAATTTGCATTCAAATCACCCCTGACAGATGGCCATCCAGCCTCTGTTTAAAAGTTTCCAAAGAAGGAGCCTCCACCACACTCTGGGGCAGAGAGTTCCACTGCTGAACAGCTCTCACAGTCAGGAAGTTCTTTCTCATGTTCAGATGGAATCTCCTTTCTTGTAGTTTGAAGCCATTGTTCCGTGTCCTAGTCTCCAGGGAAGCAGAAACAAGCTTGCTCCCTCCTCCCTGTGGCTTCCTCTCACATATTTATACATGGCTATCATATCTCCTCTCAGCCTTCTCTTCTTCAGGCTAAACATGCCCAGCTCCTTAAGCCGCTCCTCATAGGGCTTGTTCTCCAGACCCTTGATCATTTTAGTCCCCCTCCTCTGGACACATTCCAGCTTGTCAATATCTCTCTTGAATTGTGGTGCCCAGAATTGGACACAATATTCCAGGTGTGGTCTAACCAAAGCGGAATAGAGGGGTAGCATGACTTCCCTAGATCTAGACACTATGCTCCTATTGATGCAGGCCAAAATCCCATTGGCTTTTTTTGCTGCCACATCACATTGTTGGCTCATGTTGTCCACGAGGACTCCAAGATCATTTTCACACGTACTGCTCTCGAGCGAGGCGTCCCCCATTTTGTATCTTTGCATTTCGTTTTTCCTGCCAAAGTGGAGTATCTTGCATTTGTCACTGTTGAACTTCATTTTGTTAGTTTTGGCCCATCTCTCTAATCTGTCAAGATCGTTTTGAATCCTGCTCCTGTCCTCTGGTGTATTGGCTATCCCTCCCAATTTGGTGTCGTCTGCAAACTTGATGATCATGCCTTCTAGCCCTTCATCTAAGTCATTAATAAAGATGTTGAACAGGACCGGGCCCAGGACAGGACCCTGCGGCACTCCACTCGTAACTTCTTTCCAGGATGAAGAGGAAGCATTGGGGAGAATCACCCTCTGGGTTCGTCCATTTAACCAATTACAGATCCACCTCACCGTAGTTTTGCCTAGCCCACATTGGACTAGTTTCCTTGCCAGAAGGTCATGGGGGACCTTGTCGAAGGCCTTACTGAAATCCAGGTACGCTACATCCACGGCATTCCCTGCATCTACCCAGCTTGTAGTAACTCTATCGAAAAAAGAGATCAGATTAGTCTGGCATGACTTGTTTTTGATAAATCTATGTTGACTATTAGCGATGACCGCATTTGTTTCTAAGTGTTCGCAGACCACTTCGTTAACAATCTTTTCCAGAATCTTGCCTGGTATTGACGTGAGGCTGACCAGATGGTAATTGTTTGGGTCATCCTTTTTTCCCTTCTTGAAGATTGGGACCACATTGGCCCTCCTCCAATCTGCTGGAACTTCTCCCGTTCTCCAAGAACTCTCAAAGATGATTGCCAATGGTTCCGAAATGACTTCCTCTAGTTCCTTCAGTACTCTTGGGTGTAGTTGATCTGGCCCTGGGGACTTGAACTCATTTAGAGCGGCCAGGTATTCCTGGACGACTTGTTTCCCAATTTGGAGCTGGATGTCCTCTAATCCCTCATCCACTCCATCTTGCTGAGGTTGAAGATGACTTTCTTTTTGTGAGAAGACTGAGGCAAAGAAGGCATTAAGTAGTTCTGCCTTTTTCCCTACCCCCTGTCAGCATTGCCCCATCTGCTCCTCGAAGAGGCCCTATCGCCTCCTTGTTTTTCCTTTTTTCTACTGACATAAGAATAGAAGCCCTTTTTATTGTTTTTAATGTCCCTGGCAAGTCTGAGCTCGTTTTTTGCTTTAGCCTTGCGGACCTTTTCCCTACAGGTGTTGGCTATTTGTTTGAATTCTTCTTTAGTGATTTCTCCCTTTTTCCACTTCTTGTGCATGTCTCTTTTGTGTCTTAGCACAGTTAGAAGTTCTTTGGACATCCATTCTGGCTTCTTTGCACGTGTCCTATTTTTTCTCTTTGTTGGCACGGTTTGCAATTGCGCCTTGAGCAGTAAACAAGTTTGCTCCCTCCTCCCTATGACTTCCTCTCATGTATTTATACATGGCTATCATGTCTCCTCTCTGCCTTCTCTTCTGAAGGCTAAACATGCCCAGCTCTTTAAGCTGCTCCTCATAGGGCTTGTTCTCCAGACCCTGGATAACTCCTTCTCAGCTGACATACACCACATCATTTTCAACTCATCCACACCCCATCTGCTCTCAGCCTTTCACAAGCACATCCCCATTATCTGCCAGAAACCCCTATTCCTCTATATAAGGGGTTACCATTATATAGACACCATACAGAACCATAAAAAGTACTATGAAAGTAGTAATGGTTGAGGTTTCTGTCAGCAATAGCTTCATCTTATGGCTTCATATCTTTCTTCCAGGTGGAAAAAATAAATCAGTGGAGCTGGAGGATGTGAAATTTCACCAGTGTGTGAGACTGTCGCGGTTTGACAACGACCGCACCATTTCTTTCATTCCTCCTGATGGAGATTTTGAACTCATGTCTTATCGACTGAATACCCAGGTAGGTCTTGGTGTCTACCTAAGGGTGGCTGCAATGCAATCTCCCTTCTCTGGAGCAAACAAGAGGTTTCTTCTGAGTTTATGGATTCACGGTGGCCCTGATTAGTTTATTTTCCAAAAATACCTTCTTCCTAGTGGAAGAGTCTCTTGTCGGAAAGACAGTGTGCAGTACATCCTGCTCCAAAAGTCATGAGAAAGATCCCCAGATTTGAAATCACAGCAGTGGCAGTGAGAAGTTTCCATATGTTGATAATGAAAGTTCTTTATTTAGCACCATTACATGTATAGTGACAAAATGTGATTAACACTATGTAACATTTTTTTTCCTGTTCCTAGTTTGAAAGTGTTATTTCCTGCTTAACTGTGTGGTACTTACTTTGAAAATAGTTGTTATACTCCAGGAAACTTCATTTTTGTAGCCATAAACTATGTTGAATTGGTTGTGACTCTATGAGATATTCATTGAAAAATGATAGCAACAGGATGTCCTGCAAAAACAAAGGTTTATCCAACCTTTCCCATGTTTTTATGATAGAACCAATTAGGAATTGACATTTATAAGCCAGGAACGAAAATCGTATTACATACTGTGATGAAAACTCTTTATTTAGCACCATTACACATATTGTGACAAAACATGAGTAATCTATGTCTTCATGCTTCTGCTGGAATACAGCTCCCATCACCCAAATAATTGATTATGTTTACCAGGGCTGATGGGGGTGTCAATATTTGAAAGACCACATTTTCCCACAATGCTATTGCATTGTTAATTTGTACACTCCCAGATCTTTGGAGAGATTATTTTTCTTCCTCTGATGTTTTTCCTGACATGAACATAAATAGAACCTAACACTGTTTAGTATAAAAGGTTAGAGGAAGTTGCTGGAAAATATCTCATCCCATGGGTTTTATTCTTGTCTTCTATTGACTTGACATGACTTCATTGAATGAGAAGAGTAGTCAGGTTGTGACATATAAAATCCTAATCAGAGCAACGCTGATTAACTTGTGAATGGAGAAATGCTTAGAAATTGGGTGTTCTTCAGTTTTCACCAGGGTTTTTTCCTGGCACAATTTAAAGTGTTGGTTGTGATCGTCACAACCCCGTATGACCCAGGTCCAGTCTGCCTAGCTGACCAGACTTCCCTATCTGGTCCTTGGGAGAAGGAGGCCATCCTCTCAATTCTTCTGTCATCTCACCATATTTGATGGGGATGCAAGCGAAGGCCTTCTCACTGACTGCCCCTAGACCAGCGGTTCTCAACCTGGGGGTCGCGACCCCCAGGGGGGTTGTTTGGCCATTTTGGAGGGGTTGCGAGGCCGCCTCCTTAGGCCCCGCCCCCAATGCGCGAAGCCTCCCACCTTCCGGCAAGGCCGCGACCCAGCTGAGGGCCCACCACTTGCCAGCCGGCAGGGATGTGAGCCAGGCAAGAGGCTCCATGTAAGGCCAGGCGGCGTGGTGGATCCTCCCACGCCTGGCTCTCACCGCACGAGCCTCCCTGTCGGATGTGGGCCCAGACTCCTCCATAATGCACCAAGCAACAGCAACTTCATATGTCAAGATATGTGTATTTTCCCCAAACCTCTCCAGTATTTTATGTTGGTCATGGGAGTTCTGTATGCCAGATTTGGATCAATTCCATAATTGTTGGAGTTCAGCATGCTCTTTAATGACAGGGTAATTATGCCTCCAAGCAACTGCAACTCCCAAATGTCAGAGTCTATTTTCCCCAAACCTCTGTAGTATTTTCTTTTGGTCATGGGAATTCTGTATGCCAAGTTTGGTTCAATTCCATGGTTGTTGGAGTTCAGCATGCTCTTAAATGACATGCAAACTATTCAGCCAAGCAACTACAACTCCCAAATGTCAGGGTGTATTTTTCCCAAACTCCGCCAGTGTTCAAATTTGGGCATATTGAATATTCATGCCACGTTTGGTCCAGATCCATTGTTGTTTGGGTTCATAATGCTCTCCGGATGTAGGTAAACTACATCTCCCTTAAATCACTGTCAATTCCTCCCAAACCCTCCAGTATTTTTTATTTGACATGAGAGTTCTGTGTGGAGGTCTCAGTAGTCTATAGAAGTCAGAGCTGAATCGGTTGAAGGTACTCCAAATCCCATCATCTGTTTTCCACACTCCCCCAAACATATTTTTTCTTATTAATCATGATGCTTTAATTATGCTGAATTTGTAACAATGAAAACACATCCTGAATATCAGATATTTACATTGCAATTCATAACAGTAGCAAAATTACAGTTATAAAGGAACAATGAAAATTTTATGGTTGGGGGTCACCACAACATGAGGAACCATATTTAGGGGTCACGGTGTTAGAAAGGTTGAGAACCACTGATCTAGACTTTGGAACTCCCTTCTCTGTCAGAAGGTAAAACCCTTTTTTAAGTCTAACACACTCTCACTTTCTTCTTCTTTTCTCCCTGCATCAAGGTGAAGCCTCTCATCTGGATCGAGTCTGTCATTGAGAAATTTTCTCACAGCCGAGTGGAGATCATGGTTAAGGTGAATTGCTTTTACCTCCATCTCTACTGAGAGCCTCCACAACAAAGAAGCAAAGCAAAGCATAACAGAATTGGGCTCATGATTCTTGGCTATTTATTTCATTCACTCTCACACACAAATCAGAGGTGGGCAAACTGCAGACAGGGGGCCACAGGACTCTCCCAGGACCTTTTTTGGTGACTCTCCTGCCGGTCCATCTCCGAGCCCAATTCAGAGTGCTAGTTTTGACCTATAAAGCTCTATACGGTTCTGGCCCAGCTTACTTGTCTGAACGCATCTGCCCCTACATCCCACCTCGCAATTTAAGATCATCTGGGGAGGCCCTGCTCTCACTCCTGTCAACAGCGCAAATGTGGCTGGCAGGGATGAGGAGCAGGGCCTTCTCAGCTGTGGCCCCCTGCCTATGGAACACACTCCCAAAGGAGGTAAGATCTGCTCCCTCGCTCCTGACTTTTAGAAAAAAAAATTAAAATCATGGTTCTGGGACCAGGCTTTAGGACAATAGATGTATGCAGCTTTTAGTGGGACAAGGACTGGAACGGTGACTCGACTGATAAGATTGTTTTATGGTTTTAATAAGTGTTTTGATGTTTGGTGATGTACTGTTTTTAATATGATTGTGGGTTTACTATTGAAGTTGTAAGTCATTGAATTTTTGCCATTATCTATGAGTAAACCGCTTTGAGTCCCCCTAGGGGTGAGAAAAGCGGTATATAAATACTGTAAATAAATAAATAAACAAATAAATCTCCAAACCTTGCAACACTTCCCAAAATATAGAAAGCAAAATGTCCCCCTTTTTATATATATATAAGTCTCCAGTGGTGGTGAATATCTTCAAAACACATCTCTTTTGCAGATTTGATTATTTTTGGTGTGAATAAAATGGTATTTGATTAAAACATTACAGAAAAGGAGATTCCACTTGAACAATGGGAAGACCTTCCTGACCCTATGAGCTTTTAAGCAGTGGAACTCTTTGCCTCAAAGTGTGGTGGAACTTCCTTCTTTGGATGCTTTTAAACAGAGGCTAGATGGCCATCTGTCAGGGGTGCTTTAGTTGTGCTTTTCCTGCGTGGCAGTTCATAGAATCATAGAATCCTAAAGTTGGAAGAGACCTCATGGGCCCCCTGCCAAGAAGCAGGAATATTGCATTCAAATCACCCCTGACAGATGGCCCTCCAGCCTCTGTTTAAAAGCTTCCAAACAAGGAGCCTCCACCACACTCCGGGACAGTGAGTTCCACAGCTGAACGGCTCTCACAGTCAGGAAGTTCTTCCTCGTGTTCAGATGGAATCTCCTTTCTTGTAGTTTGAAGCCATTGTTCTGTGTCTTAAGTCTCCAGGGCAGCAGAAAACAAGCATGCTCCCTCCTCCCTGTGGTTTCCTCTCACATATTTATACATAGCTATCATATCTCCTCTCAGCCTTCTCTTCTTCAGGCTAAACATGAGGTCTCTTCCAACTCTTTGATTCTATGATTCTATGGTGGAGAAACACATAAATACTGAAATCAATTCATTCATCTGTAGTGGTGTGGACAGAAGATAATTCTCTCCAGCTAACAATAACAAGAAGCTGGGTGGGGCTTCTGGGAGCTGAAGTCCAAAACACTTGCAGGACCAAAGGCTGGACACCATTAACCTTGACTGTATAGGTCAAAAATCTTCCAACTGTTGTAGCCTAGTATCCTTTTGCAGCAGTGGAAAGCAAAAAGCAAACAAATTCATGAACTCATTTCCCTTCTCTTTCTCTACCTGTGCTTGGAAAGGCCAAGGGCCAGTTCAAGAAGCAATCAGTGGCCAACGGTGTGGAGATCTGTGTTCCCGTTCCCAGTGACGCTGACTCACCCAAGTTCAAGACTAGCATTGGGAGTGCAAAATATTTGCCGGAAAAGGATGTGGTCATCTGGAGCATCAAATCCTTCCCGGTGAGAAACACACTTTTTCCCTTCTCTCCCCACGTAGCCTCTGGGCTCTGGTTCTTTTAGATCAGGGGTCACCAAAGCTTTTGAACAGAGGGCTGGTTCACGGTCCCTCAAACTGTTGGGGGCCCGGACTATAGTTTGAAAAAAACATAGACAAAATAGGGGATTGGATAAAGGTTAGAATGAAGAAAGAAACGATTATGGAAGAATTTAGAGAAATAAAATTGACATGGTTCCATTGTATACAATTAGAACAATGGTTTAAAAATGGGGGGGGGGGGAATAAAACGGAAGTAAGCTTAACTTATCAATACGGGTTAAAGAAAATTATTATAAGTTAGTATGGAAATGGTACCTAACACCAGTAAGAATAGCAAATATAAATAAAACTATTCAAAAAATTGCTGGAGAGGATGTCAAGAATCAGGAACATATATACATATGTGGTGGCAATGTAAATATGTAAATATTTTTGGGGGGAAAGTATTTAGAGAAATAGAAGATATAATGAATATTAAAATAGAAAGAAGTCCTAGTATAGCTTTATTATCATTATATAATAATAAACAATTGAAAAAAGAGGATAAAGATGTGATAACAAATTTATTAACAATAGCAAGACTGCTTATAGCAAGGAACTGGAAAAAAAGAAAGAAATATACAAGTAGAGGAGTGGTACAAGGAAGTATGGAAATTGGCAATAAATGATAAGTTGACATGTATATTAAAAGTTAAAAGAGGTATATGGAAACAAAGTGATTTTGATGATGTATGGAGAAAATTTATCGAAAAAGGATTAAAAAATAAAAAAGGAAAGTTACCTCCACAAGAAGAATTGAAATTTTGGACAGATGACATGTAAAAGCTGTGGCTTGAGAGGGGAGAGGGGAGCACAGCTGTGAGGGATAGACAATATGTATAAGCAGAAAAATAACACTAAATGCCAAAAGTATGGCAGGTTGTATTGAATAATATGTATCTGCTGTAAAACAAACAATGTATAACAAATGTATTAAATCATAATAAAATAATAAAAATATTTTTTAAAAAGAAAAAAACAAATTTCTATGCACATTGCACAGATCTTATTTGTATCGCAGAAAAACATGAAACATCAATACAGTATGTAAAATTAAGAACAATTTTAACCCACATAAACTTGACAATGGGAAATGTGGGCCTGCTTTTGACTGATGAAATAGTCAAGTTAATAAGGGTTGTTGTTGTTGTTGTTGTGTGTCTTCAGGTCGCTTCAGACTTAGGACAACCCTAAGGCTAAAGTTTAGGGTGGGAGCAGGGAAATAATCTTGGAGGGCTGCATCTGCCTGCGTTTGTTTTAGATCAATTGCAAAAATTAAGGTTTTGCTACTGCAATGAAATGTGGAGAGTTTATCCCAAGATGCTTCAGCTGTATTTGTGCAAGAGGATCATCCATATACTGGTACATTGCTGAAATCTGCCTCTGGAAGGGGAGAGAGGTTAGGTGATGTGGCATTGAATTTTGCCGGAGTTTGTAAGTCGCCTTGAGTACCCGGCAGGATGAAAAAGTCCGGGTAGAAATGAAGTAAATAAATTATAAATGAGTCCTTGCCCACTGGAATCTCTGTAGAGTTTGGAGAAACAGCCACAAGATTAGCAAATGGCTTCTGGAAATAATAATAACAGGATAAAGCTTGGAAAAGTTATTTGGGGGGGGGGGGCTGCCAGAATCCCTCAACTACCTGGGGAGTTCTAGGAGTTGTAATCCAAAATAGTACACTTTTCAAACTCTGGTTTTCCTGCCCCTTTGTTGTGGATCACAGAAGAACCTGCCACCCATTGCCGTGTTCTCGTTTGTTGTCTTAAGTGACAGACAGCAGCACTGGCATTGGCTTCCCTAGCGAATTATCTTCTGCTTTGGCCTTTTGCTCTGCAGGGTGGCAAGGAGTACTTGATGCGGGCCCACTTTGGGCTGCCCAGTGTTGAGAACGAGGAGCTAGAGGGCCGGCCTCCAATCTCCGTCCGGTTTGAAATCCCCTACTTCACAGTCTCTGGGATCCAGGTGAGTGACATTAAATTACACTATGTAAAACAGTTGTTATTCCTGGGTTATAAATGTCATTTCCTAATTGGTTGTATCATAAAACATGGGAAAAATGTATTACTCACCTCTACTAATCTACTAATCTAATCACCTCTCAACAAAAGATTGCCCCAGGCACTAACAAGCCACACTAAACAACTGCCAGGCAATCAAATGCTACTCAAGGTGGTCAGTTGAAACATTCACACTTAGCTCCAACAGTCAAGAGTTCTTTGTCCCACCCTGGTCATTCCACAAATATATAAACCCATTTTCCTAGTTCCAACAGATCTCACTACCTCTGATGATGCTTGCTTTAGATGCAGGCAAAACATCAGGAGAGAATGCCTCTAGAACATGGCCTACAACAACCCAATTTATTAAATTGCCAAAACATTGTTTTTGCGGGGCATCTGGCAGCATATTTTGCTATCTTTTTTCAATGAAGATCTCAACCAAATCAACATAGTTTGTGGCAGCCATAATAATTAAGTTTCTGGAGTATAGCAATTACTTTCAAAGTAAGTACCACACAATTCAACAGGAAATAACACTTTCAAACCAGGAACAAATATTTCCCCAGCCCCCCCCCCCCTTGTGTTATTGGAGAAGAACCGAGAAGAGTGAAACCATTCAGCTCGCAGGGAAACATCTGCATGCACATTATTTATTTATTTATTATTTACATCGCTTCTACCCCGTGACCAAAAGCAGGGCCTCCCCAGTAGATCTTAAATTATGAGGTGGAATATAGAGAGAGATACGTTCAGATAAGTAAGCTGGGCCGGAGCCGTATAGGGTTTTATAGGCCAAGACCAGCACTTTGAATTGTGCTCGGAGGTGGACCGGCAGCCACCTCCGAGCACAATTGGCGCTCCAGTGAGTAATCTGGCTGCTGCCCGTTGGACTAGTTGAAGTCTCCGAACAGTCTTCAAAGGCAACCCCACATAGAGTGCGTTGCAGTAATCTATTTGGGATGTAACCAGAGCGTGGACCACCGTGGCCAAGTCAGACTTCCCAAGGTACGGGTGCAGCTGGCACACAAGCTTTAACTGTGCAAAAGCTCCCCTGGCCACCACCAAGACCTGAGGTTCCAGGCTCAGCTATGAGTCCAGGATCACTCCCAAGCTGCGAACCTGTGTCTTCAGGGGGAGTGTAAYCCCATCCAACACARGCTGATAGGAAGATTGATGAAAGTCATTCCAAGGGTGAAGATGAAAGGGAAATCCATTGCATATGTGCAATTAAAATTAAATAGATGGAAGACAGGTTATTATTTACTTTATTTATACCCCGGCCTTCCCACCCAAAGGGGACTCAGAGCGGCCTTACAAAACTACRGTAAAAATTCTATGTTGCATCATGACATAACAATAAACATACATATTAAATTATAAAACAGTCAAGACATATAAGCAATTAAAACATGATTGAAATGGGAATGCCAAGGAGCACATGGACACTCTCTTTTTCCTTCCTTCCTTCTTCAATTCAGGTCCGGTACATGAAGATAATTGAGAAGAGTGGGTACCAGGCTCTGCCATGGGTCCGATACATCACCCAGAGTGGGGGTAAGTTRGCARTGCTGGGAGAAACTTAATGTATGAGGGTTGAATGAAAAATAATGCCTCCATCTTCGTAACTCCTCAACAGATGGCAGTACTGGTATGCGGCAGGTACTGGCTTGTTCTTTAGACTCTCCTCTACAGTTCCATTTTGGCAGGAAGCCTTAGCTTTGAACAGTTGTGTTGTTAAAGTGTGAAATATGGAACCCTGAGCAGACAACTAGTCAATGTGACTTAAGCAATGAGCAGTCATTGACTTCTTGCCAGCAGAAGGTGTGACCCCAAAGGAGATTCATCAGAGAATGCAAGCTGTTTATGGTGATTGTGTTGATATGAGTACTGTGTGTTGTTGGGTGAGTAAGTTTAAAGATGTTGAGGTGGGAACATCTGACTTGCGTGACAAAGAGTTGGACGTCCTGTGACAGCAACCACCGAGTTTCACAAGCAAAAGGTTGACAGATTGATTCAGACAACCATCGTATCACTCAGAGAGAAATTTCAAGCATAATCGGCATTTTACAAGAACGTGTGGGTCACATTATTGCTTTGCTTAGCTATTGGAAGATCCGTGCACGATGGGTACCCAGGATGCTGACGCCTGAAATGAAAGCGCACAGAAGTGAAACTTCAGAGACTGGATCTCATCACCATACGGAACCCCCAGTGGCACAGTGGGTTAAACTCCTGTGCCAGCAGGACTGAAGACCGTCAGGTCGCAGGTTCGAATCTGGGGAGAGCGCGGATGAGCTCCCTCTATCAACTCCAGCTCCTCTGCAGGGACATGAGAGAAGCCTCCCACAAGGATGATAACACATCAAAACATCCGGGCATCCCCTGGGCAACATCTTTGTAGACGGCCAATTCTCTCACACCAGAAGCAACTTGCAATTTCTCAAGTCGCTCCTGACACAACAAAAACAAAATCGTATGGCATCCTCCAAACAGTCCAGATTTAGCACCGTCTGACTTCCATCTGTTCCTAACGATATAAGATCTGCGGGGATATCATTATGCTTCTGATGAAGACGCTGAGAGAACTGTGAGATGCTGGTTGTGGAAACAGAGTGTCGACTTCTTCCGTGACAGCTTCAGAAAACTTGTTCATCGTTGGCAGAAATGTATCCAATTTTCTGGTGATTATGTGGAAAAGTGAATAGTGGTAGTAAAAGAGCACATTCTAAGGATTATTTTTGTGTTTGATTTATTAAAATATTCCCATCCAAACCCAAGTAGAAGGTGGAGGCATTACTTTTAATTCAACCGTCGTATACAGTGAAATGGCTGTTATTTCAACTTTTGCATTCTGCCTTTCCCCTGCTCTGTTAGAGATAATTGGTCATGTTTGGAAAATGTACATCTGACAACTTTTGCCCTAGTAGGGTTTTGGGATTGCATGCCATCTCTGTTTTTCTCTGGAAATTATAGAAATACAACTTAGTGTCTGTGACTCACTCTGGTTTTCCTTGGAAATTCATGTTTGGGACCTACAAAAGGCTCACACTCAAATGCCCCCCCCCCCCATTTAAATCCCGGAATCTGATCCCTAGACTCAAAGGTGTTCAGCATTTGCCTTGAGAAAGCAAGTTCTCAAAGCTTTCTTCTTTCGTGTGTTTTTGTTCCTGCCTCTTTGGATTGCTGGGCTTGTATGGCCAATTTGCTGTGTTTGCTTTTGAAACCGGCAGAACTGTGTTTGCAGGGAAGTCATGCTTCCCCTCTATCCTGCCTTGGTTAGACCACACCTGGAATATTGTGTCCAATTCTGGGCACCACAATTGAGAGATATTGACAAGCTGGAATGTGTCCAGAGGAGAGTGACTAAAATGATCAAGGATGTGGAAAACAAGCCCTATGAGGAGCAGCTTAAAGAGCTGGGCATGTTTAGCCTGAAGAAGAGAAGGCTGAGAGGAGGCATGATGAGGGCTGTGCTGGTATAGCTGTACCGGAAGCCTAAATTTCCTTTCTATGCATGTTTGTTTTGGCCATGCATTTTACAGTTGGGTAGATTCCTTTTAGGCTGCAGCCATAGGGCAAGCCACCTGTCTATGATCGTCAAGTTCTTTAGTTCCGCCCCTTTCCCCAGGGTTCTGGGAGGGAAAAGAAAGTTTTTAGTTCAGTCTTACAGTTTAGAAGCTCAGTTACAGGACGTGAGAGCTTCTCCCACCTGTAGAAAGCTTCGTTTCTCACAAACTTTGGGGGACAGCAGTTGCACAGCTTTACTAAGAAATACAGCCAGCTTTGCTGGAAGGTAAAGGACACCAGCTGGAAAATCTACAAAGTCTTGGCCGGTAAGGTCTACTCGGGTTACCCATAAAGCAAATTGGAACTGGGAGTAGGGCCCCACGCCAGCCTAAGAACAGATTGCCCAGGGAAGGGTCAAGGATTTCCTTTATAGAAGAAAGAAACAGTTCTTGAAGCAAGTTGCCTGTCCCTTGTGGGCAGATTAAGAAAGCTACCAGTTTTCCAGAGTTTTAAAGTATTTGATTGATTTGTTGAAGATTTAAGCATTAATAAAGAACCTTGTTAAACTTTCTAAGCTTCCAAAGACTTTACAGGGAAATCCATAGGGCCTCTCAGCAGAGGCACCCTGGGCGTCTCGCTGGGCATATAGAGAACACGTCCCCGTTAATAGACAATTGCTGCTTCCTCACAAGTCCTAATGGACTGAAGACAACAGGCCCAGTGTGTGACTGCACAAGGGCCATGTATAAGTATGTGAGAGGAAGTCATAGGGAGGAGGGAGCAAGCTTGTTTTCTGCTTCCCTGGAGACTAGGACGCGGAACAATAGCTTCAAACTACAAGAAAGGAGATTCCACCTGAACATTAGGAAGAACTTCCTGACTGTGAGAGCCGTTCAGCAGTGGAACTCTCTGCCCCAGAGTGTGGTGGAGGCTCCTTCTTTGGAAGCTTTTAAGCAGAGGCTGGATGGCCATCTGTCGGGGGTGCTTTGAATGCAATTTTCCTGCTTTGCAGGGGGTTGGACTGGATGGCCCATGAGGTCTCTTCCAACTCTGTAATTCTATGATTCTAATAATAATAATAATAATAATAATAATAATAATAATAATAATATTTTAGGAGGAGGTGCTTTTAGCCTATAACTCTCACAGTTCTTTACCTCCTTTGACTGTGTGGGCAAGGCTTATGGGAGTGGCAATGTAAAGGTTATCCTGGGTTTTTTATATTCTGTATCTTTTTATGTTCCAGATTACCAGCTCCGGACCCATTAGTTGCATGCCTCTGCAGCGTCAGGATCCAGCCTTATCCAAACTGAAGGGATTGGGATGCCTAGGGAAACCTTTTAATTTTGGCTCTGTTTGTGTGTGTATTTGTGTGTATGCACCCTTCTTATGTTATAATGCCACCCCATTCCCCCTCTTGAAAGATTTTGGGTTGTTGTTACCAAGCTCCTTCTCCCCCCCCCCCCCCCCCCCCCCCTCCCCACTCAGTTCCCCATTTGTAATGTGAGAATTGCAGCTGACTACCTCTTGTTACAAAGATGAGTGACAAAAAGTTACTACTTCCCTGTGCCTTTAGACCGCAATGAGCTATAAATGTAAGAGGAATAAATTAATACTTTTAAATGAGGGGTGTGTGTCATTGGTCTACATGGAGTCCCGTCCTCACTCCCCATTGGCTTTTCTGCTTAAACCTGGCTCTAAAGGCAAGACATGGCACGGGTGACTTTGGCTCCTGTGACGCCCAGTTCTCACAATAGCCAAACTGGTTGCTTCCCATGTTTTCTTAACTAGCCTCGATGAGTAACAGCAAAACTGGCAGCATCTGGTCTGTTCTGCAAAAAGGAGTAACCTCCAAGATGTGCAGGAGAGCCTCTCCCGTACAGGCACTATTCCACATCCAAGATATTTATTTATCATGTCAGGAGTAAACCAAACAGTTGTATTGCATTTTTAACAAACAAACAAAGTTTGCAAGCTTGGTAGTTGATTAAATGTCCTTTGACCAGTAGCTGGCCACTTGGATTGTCTCTCTACAAGAAGGTCCTCCATTGTGCATGTGGCAGGGCTCAGGTTGCATTGCAGCAGGTGGTCTGTGGTTTGCTCTTCTCCACACTCGGATGTCGTGGATTCAACTTTGTAGCCCTATTTCTTGAGGTTGTCTCTGCATCTTGTGGTGCCAGAGCACAGTCTGTTCAGCGCCTTCCAAGTCGCCCAGTCCTCTGTGTGCCCAGGGGGGAGTCTCTCATTTGGTATCAGCCACTGATTGAGGTTCTGGGTTTGAGCCTGCCACTTTTGGACTCTCCCTTGCTGAGGTGTTCCAGCGAGTGTCTCTGTAGGTCTTAGAAAACTATTTCTTGATTTAAATCGTTGACATGCTGGCTGATACCCAAACAGGGGATGAGCTGGAGATGTCTCTGCCTTGGTCCTTTCACTATTCGCTGCTACTTCCCGGCGGATGTCAGGTGGTGCAATACCGGTTAGAAGCGACCAGAAGCGACATCCAAGATGAAGGGTTAGAAGGCATGATCATCAAGTTTGCAGACAACACCAAATTGGGAGGGAGAGCCAATCCTCCAGAAGACAGGAGCAGAATTCAAAACGATCTTGACAGATTAGAGAGATGGGTCAAAACTTACAAAATGAAGTTCAACAGGGACAGATTCACTTAGGCAGAAAAAAATGAAATGCAAAGATACAGAATGGGGGACGCTTCGCTCGAGAGCAGTACCTGTGAAAAAGATATTGGAGTCCTCGTGGAGAGGAAGGTGAACATGAGCCAACAATGCCATGCAATGGCCAAAAAAAAAAGGCCAATGGGATTTTGGCCTGCATCAATAGGAGCATAGTATCTAGATCCAGGGAAGTCATGCTACCCCTCTATTCTGCCTTGGTTAGACCACAACTGGAATAATATCATAATACATGTTAAAACATTAAAACAGCATAAAACACAACAAAGACAATAAAAACAACACCATTAGCATCTCCTTATTAATAAGCATTGTCCAGTTCCACTGTCATCAGATTTCTTATATCAGTTACCTATATCCATTACTCTGCATTTGTAAATGCTTGCTCAAATAGCCATGTTTTAATTTGCTTCCGAAAGTTAAGAGGGAAGGAGCAGATCTGATCTCTCTAGGGAGGGCGTTCCATAGCTGAGGGGCCACCACTGAGAAGGCCCTGTCTCATTCCCGCGAGACGTATTTGTGACGAAGGTGGGAACGAGAGCAGGGCCTCCCTGGACGATCTCAAGGCCCTCGATGGTTCATAAGGGGAGATGCATTTGGACAGGTTTTAATTATTCTGGATCATTTTACGCTAATTCAAATATGACCCCAAATTTCTTATATAACGTTTAGTATGGGAATCAATTTTACTCTTGATCTTTTATAAATAATATTCCAATATCCCAAATGTCTTTCATCTCAAAAGCTGTCCATGAAAGAGAAAAAAATGTGGAATCAGTATGAAAAATCAGTGTGTGAATCTCTCATTCAGATGGCAAATCAAACATTGAAACCTGCCACTACATACCTGGTAGCAATGCTTGGAACACAAAACAACTATTAGGGAGACTGTAAATCACATAGTTGGCCTTGTGTCTTTTTGATTTCAAAATACATTTTAAATTTGAGTTTTCGCGGAACAGACTTTAGGAACGGTGTCCCCTCCACCCCACATGATACAACATTCCTGCAAGGAGCTGATTTTAACAGGAGGAGGAGGAGGAGGAGGAAGAAGAAGAAGAAGAGGAGGAGGAGGAGGGGGGGGAGGAGGAGGGGAAGAGGAGGAAGAGAAGAAGAGGGGGAAGAGGAGGAGGAGGAGGAGGAGGAGGAAGGAGGAGGAGGAGGAGAAGAAGAAGAGAAGAGGAGGAGGAAGAGAGGAAGAAGGAGGAGGAGGAAGGGAGGAGAGGAGGAGGAAGGAAGAAGGAAGAAGAAGGAGAAGAAGAAGAAGAAGGAGGAGGAGGAAGGGAGGAGGAGGAGGAAGAAGGAAGAAGAGGAGGAGGAGGAGGGGGAGGGGAGGAGGAGGAGGAGGAAGAAGAAGAAGAGGGGGAAGAGGGAGGAGGTGGAGGAAGAAGAAGAAGAAGAGAGGAGGAGGAGGAGGAAGGGAGGAGGAGGAGGAAGAAGAAGAAGGAAGAAGAAGAAGAGAGGAGGAGGAGGAAGAAGAGGAGGAGGAGGGAAGGGAGGAGGAGGAGGAAGAAGAAGAGGAGGAGGAGGAGGAAGTGGAGGAGGAGGAGGAAGAAGAAGAAGAAGAAGAGGAGGAGGAGGTAGGAGGAGGAGGAGGAAGAAGAAGAAGAGGAGGAGGAGGAGGGGGAGGGGGAGGAGGAGGAAGAAGAAGAGGGGGAAGAGGAGGAGGAGGTGGGGGAAGAAGAAGAAGAGGAGGAGGAGGAGGAAGCGGAGGAGGAGGAAGAAGAAGAAGAAGAAGAAGAAGAGGAGGAGGAGGAGGAAGAAGAGGAGGAGGAGGAAGTGGAGGAGGAGGAGGAAGAAGAGGAGGAGGAGGAGGAGGAGGAAGAAGAAGAAGAAGAAGAAGAAGAAGAAGAAGAAGAGGAGGAGGAGGAGGAAGAGGAGGAGGAGGAGGAAGAAGAAGAAGAAGAAGAAGAAGAAGAAGAAGAAGAAGAAGAAGAAGAAAGAAGAAGAAGAAGAAGAAGAAGAAGAAGAAGAAGAAGAAGAAAGAAGAAGAAGAAGAAGAAGAAGAGGAGGAGGAGGAGGAGGAAGTGGAGGAGGAGGAGAAAGAAGAAGAGGAAGAAGAGGAGGAGGAGGAGGAGGAAGAAGAAGAAGAAGAGGAGGAGGAGGAGGAAGAAGAGGAAGAACAACAACAACAAGGTCATTAATAACACACATACACACACCACCAAACACCAATATGATGCAAAAGTAAACTGCAGTAACACGTTGAGAGGAGAGGTCTCTGTACTCTCAAGAGATCTAAGTTGCTAACTGCCTTAAAGTCGACTTCAACTTCTGGTGACCCCATGAGTGACCCTTAAGTCACCCCATCCTCAACAGCCCTGCTAGGAGCCCCCAGTGGCGCAGTAGGTTAAACCCTTGTTCTGGCAGGACTGCTGACCGAAAGGTCGGTGGTTTGAACCTGGGGAGCAGGGTGAGCTCCTGTATTCAGCTCTAGCTTCCCATGCAGGGACATGAGAGACGTCTCCCACAGGATGGTAAAACATCCAGGCGTCCCTTGCAGATGGCTAATTCTCTTACACCAGAAATGACTTGCGATTTTTCAAGTCATGGAGAGAAAAAAAACAGCCCTGCTGAGATTTTGTAGTTATAGTGTTCCTTGGTTGAGTTTCTCCATCTGGAATGCGGTCTCCTCCTCCTCCTCTTGTTTTGCTAAGCATTATTGCTCGCCAGATGTCCCACATATTATGGGATTCCCGTGACACATATCACATATTCAGCTGCATAGGAACCCAGCAGGACAGCGGCCTCCGAATGCAGAAGTGGAAGTGCCATCTGCAAGGCTTCCAAAGGGAGGCAAAAGTCAGGCCTTGAGGGATCCAATGGGCCAGATCCTTGTAGTGGTACCATGGTTTGGGGACGGGAGTTTCTGAATCGCAGTGTGGTCAGTTATGATATCTGGAAAGGTCTGGAGCGGGGAAGCAAACCAGAAGTCCGGAAAACAATACAGATTTAATTAATCCAAGTCGCCTATCCCTGGCCCTTTCTACACTGCCACACAAAATCCATATTCTCTGCTTTGAATATTAGGTACTTTTTACACAGTCCTTCTATCCCAGGATCTGATCCCAGATTATCTTCTTATCTCAATATGGCAGTGGAGACTTCAAAGCCAGTAGCCTGCTGTTGCAGTGGGTTAAACCACTGAGCTGCTAAGCTTGTTGACTGAAAGGTCACAGGTTCGAATCCGGGGAGCGGTGTGAGCTTCCGCTGTCAGCCCCAGCTTCAGCCAACCTAGCAGTTCGAAAACATGTAAATGTGAGTATCATAGAATCATAGACTCAAAGAGTTGGAAGAGACCTCCTGGGCCATCCAGTCCAACCCCATTCTGCCAAGAAGCAGGAATATTGCATTCAAATCACCCCTGACAGATGGCCATCCAGCCTCTGTTAAAAAGCTTCCAAAGAAGGAGCCTCCACCACACTCCGGGGCAGAGAGTTCCACTGCTGAACAGCTCTCACAGTCAGGAAGTTCTTCCTCATGTTCAGATGGAATCTCCTCTCTTGTAGTTTGAAGCCATTGTTCCGTGTCCTAGTCTCCAGGGAAGCAGAAAACAAGCTTGCTCCCTCCTCCCTGTGGCTTCCCCTCACATATTTATACTTGGCTATCTTATCTCCTCTCAGCCTTCTCTTCTTCAGGCTAATCATACCCAGCTCCTTAAGCCGCTCCTCATAGGGCTTGTTCTCCAGACCCTTGATCATTTTAGTCACCCTCCTCTGGACACATTCCAGGTTGGTGGAGGCTCCTTCTTTGAAAGCTTTTAAACAGAGGCTGGATGGCCATCTGTCAGGGGTGCTTTGAATGCAATATTCCTGCTTCTTGGCAGGGGGTTGGACTGGATGGCCCATGAGGTCTCTTCCAACTGATTATTTAGACAAGCTTTGCTCTGAAAGAACTGGGTGGATACATTAGATTCTATGTCCCCATATGATTCTATGTCCCCGCATGTGGAGCTAGAGCTGACAGAGGGAGCTCACCTGCACTCTCCCCGGATTTGAACCTGTGACCTGTGGGGTCTTCAGTCCTGCCGGCACAAGGCTATAACCCACTGCGCCACCGGGGGCTCCTTGGAATGTGTCCAGAGGAGGACAACTAAAATGATCAAGATTCTGAAGAACAAGCCCTATAAGGAGTGGCTTAAAGAGCTGGGCATCTTTAGACTGAAGAAGAGAAGGCTGAGTGGAGATATGATAGCCATGTATAAATATGTTAGAGGAAGCCACAGGGAGGAGGGAGCAAGCTTGTTTTCTGCTTTCCTGGAGACTAGGACGTGAAACAGTGGCTTCGAACTACAAGAAAGGAGATTCCACCTGAACATGAGGAAGAACTTCCTGACTGTGAGAGCCGTTCAGCAGTGGAACTCTCTGCCACAGTGTGGTGGAGGCTCCTTTTTTGGAGGCTTTTAAACAGAGGCTGGATGGCCTTCTGTCAGGGTGCTTTGAATGCAATATTCCTATAGGAATAATTTAGTGATAAAGGTATGTTTACTTAATGTGTTTACGTTAAATTGAATAAATGCAATACATGGAGAGAGAAAAATGAATGCAATATTCCTGCTTCTTGGCAGGGGGTTGGACTGGATGGCCCATGAGGTCTCTTCCAACTC